CCCACCTAACTTACACAAACACTTACACTCACTTAACAAACGGTGTCCAGCTTGGGTGGAAGTTAAGGACATTACTGAGTTTACTAGGGATTGCATTTAACACCTTATTTGTTTTTTTACACTAGAATAGAAGAAAAAAGCAGACATTTTTCATTTTTGCTTTTATTTAAGTTAAACATGGACAAAAATACATTAGGCTATGCAATACTGTCAATACAGAAGTTTTGAAAATTGTTGAAAACTACTTAAAACTGTCAGAAACACTCTAATGATTGGAAATAATAAACGTCATAGGCTAGTACCTAGAGTTGCTGCCTTCCAAAGCTCTGAAATAAGTCAATAGGCTTCATTTTTATGGTGCAGGGTGTATAAGACAAAAGTCGAACGGAATCTTTTTGATGAGATATATCTTGGAAGGCTCATACATTGAAGTAATTTAGTTTAATTGACCTACAGAAGTTAAATGTTACGCTACTCGCCTCCTGTTCACCACTCTGTAGGGGTGGGAAGCAGTTTTATGACTAAGAAAGGCAGTTACGTTTTGTTCAGGATGGTCCTACCTAACTATGGAAATGTGTAAAGAATTGTTCTCTTCTTGCTAATCCTTGATAGAAAGGATTGTTCATACCTATTTGAACAAAAGTAATTTTAAGAACACACAGTATGTTTTATTCGATAACAGAGTATAATATACAGACAACTTAACTTTAATGGAGTAGGCCTACGAGAATTCATGACACTTCTTTTAAAATGCTACCCAATTTACAAAAGTAGGAATGCAATATGAACATGAAGTTAAAATTTATATATTGACATCCATGTTTGCTTATTACTTTCCCTTATAGCTTATTTGCCTTGTTAATTTCTGATAACCTTTTTGTGTTTAGTTGAAATTTTAAACTGTCCCTCTAAATCTTCAGAATATTCATTGAGATCCAAACATGTAAATTTAAGTCCTAAATTCAGAAAAATTGCTACTAGAGTTTTCGCTTTGATAATAACGTTTAGCACGATTAAAATTACTCAAGCAATTAAAAAATTCTCTCATTCCTATTATAGTGGCTGAGTAAAGTCTTTTGAATCAGAAGGTTATTATTCTAAAAAAAAAACTGTGAGGATATTATTTTTAGATAACTAACTGACATTGTAAATAAGACATACCCTAAATACTATAGAGGGTATAATGTGCCTGGTATGAGAATAATTATAAATGATTTCTGGTTTGTTCAATATATTTCTGTATAGATATACACATAGTGGGTGATTGATATAAGTGTGCCAACTGTTTAATTCGAAAGACTACAGTTTTTAACTACATTCTAAAAACCCTATAAAATACATAGTTTTCTTATTTTAAAATGCTCTGCCATTTTGGAAAATGGTGGCCATTTTTTAAAAATAGAATCAATATTTTTTTATGTTTCAATGGTATTTTTAGAATGTATATGCAGTTTTAAGACTTATTTACTCCTAGCATTTTCTACATAAAGTTACTCGTATAGGAGCTACATGGCGCAGAATGTACACCGCAAGTAATTTTTTTTAGTTTTAACACGCTGTAACTCCTAAATGAAAAAAAATCTGTAGCTGTAGCATTGCTGTAGCTTAAGATAAAAAATACCAAGAATAAAAATGTTTTAAAATGATATTACTTTCTTACAAAAATCATAAAATATAGGGTCTTCCATAAGAAAAATCTAAGTTGGCAGCCATATTGGAAAAATTGCGCTAAAATTATTTGTTTAACTTGACCAAAATTTTTAAAATCAAAAATCCAAGGCAGTTACAATTTAAATTTTTTTTATATCAATAATAACTTTTGAATAAAACAGCTGGCACACTTATATCAATCACCCTATATAATATTTGTTAAATACGTGTATAGGTTCATTATTATTATTATAATTTTTCCTAGGACGCTAGGCACGAGCCTGGGATTATTTTTCACATTACTTCAGGGGTGTGACCTAGAGGTTGCGTCATTTTCACTTAGATAAAATGCATTGGTGATTTCGCAGGATTTGAACCCAGGACTTCTTGGACCAAAGTCCCGCGCTCTAACCACTAGACCAACTCGCTCCCCAAATAATAATAATTTGTTTGCTCCCCAATAATTTGCTAATAATAGGTTCATTATAAACAAATTAGGCTTTAATGTTAACATGATCTCAGGGTCTTAATACAACATCTCACAATGCACATAATATGTTAAAGTTGCACATAATATGTGAGTTTTTAATAATAAGCTATCAAACATGTGTATGCATATATACTACAACATATTTTAATATTAAATGTTTGGAAATTGAAGTGTTGTTCTGGTTAGCCTAAATCTATATAAATTAAAGACAGAGGTCGTTCAATTCTTTACATGTGATTTTACTTTACATGTGGGTTTTCCAATATGGGCTGAGCTATTCAGTTGACGATTTAAAAAGTGTATAAACTTAGATGGTTGCATATATTTTCAAACTTTGGTTTATCTAATATAATGATTCTTTATTATACCGGTACAATTGTTTTCCAAAGCTGTATTAGAATCTTACCTCAGAACTTTAGCTCAGCTGGAATATTCATAAACATAAACGAATGCAGCTGTGGTAAACAGAGTGTTGTTTAGTTCATGTCTTGGCTGTAACCAAACAGTGTGTACTTAAGACGTTTGGTCATTGTTATTTATGTTGTTGGTAAACGTACGAATCAATGCCTTACTCAGAAAACAATTTGGGGTTTGGTTATCAGGATTATAAACACATTTGTCACTAGAGGAATGTCATTATCCTATGACATGTTTATTAACAGTGTTCGTGGAAGAGGAACTGATGATACAGCATAATACCAGCATATCAAAGCAATTTTGTCAATGGCCTGGAGAATGAAAACTATGCGGCAGGAATGTAAATAGATTTGTACAAAGCTTTTGATATTATCGATCCATTTATATTGATTGACTGATTAGAAGCATATGGTATCATAGGATTACTACATAACTGGTTATCCACTTTCATTATCGTAAACAGTTTGTTAAAATTAATGGAATATTATTTTATGAATGTGATTTGAGATTTAGAATAGCTCAAGGAGGAGTTCTTGGGCCTAATGTTTCTATTTTATGTTAATGATTTGTTAAATTAAATCTACACTCAGATATATATTCTTTTGCAGATGACATAGCTATTATTTGTAAAAATAAGAACTATAAATACTATGATACATAGATGTTTGCTGGAAGATCTAGAAAAATAAGCAATTGGTGTGCTGTAATAAAACTAATTGTAAATGTTAAAAATACAAAATCTATTGATTGATCTTTAACGCAAATGAATCTTATTTTGTTCAATGAGTGGGGATCGAGAAAATTGCCACTTGTATTAGTAGCCGTAGCTGCTTACGTGTTGCTCAGGTTGCTCCGCTGCTCGTATTGTATCCGAGGCCTTACATTTTGTACAGGATATTTGACACTTCTGTTAAAGTCAACTCTAATTTTATTGTAATTTAGTCTGTTTTGGTATCATTCACATTTTTGTGCATATACAAGGAGAGGATAATTTTTAAGTAAGGGCCGTTTTTGAAAATAGCCCTGTAGTTTGCGTGTAAGCCGCAACGAGGCTTCTTGCCGCTTACTGGCATAATCTGTGAACAGAGTGACACCATTTGCAGCTCTGTAGCTAACGTCTGTGATTCTCTGCGTGTTATACATTTTTTTTTTATTATTGAATGCCCAAAGTGAGGTTAGTGATATGTTTGTTTTTATTACAAGAAACATATCTTATGCTAACATTTATCTCTAGATGACCGTAGGTTATGGCATGGCTTAAAGCAATGAGTGAGAGTAAAATGCAAAAATGGTTTACGAGTATAAAAATTGCCGTGAAAACCTTTTTCCTTTGTAATCTTCTAAGAGAAATCTGGGTACCCATTAAAAACCTAATTAATTCCTTCCAAAATTAAGATTTTTCATAGCCATTTCTTAACTCCCTAGCCCATTTCTGCACATTCCCCTCTATCATTGCATTAGGGTCATAAACTTAAGTCCTCTGGCGACGAATGTCAGCATCAGATATTTCTCGTGGTCGAAACATATCACTGACCTTATCTCGCACCTGGTGGAAGATTCTATAATTATAAACTTTTTAAAAACACACAGTAAAGTGTACACAACAGATACAAATCTCCAAATGGTGTATATCTGTTCACAATTGGGGCTAGTAGACAGCTAGGAGTCTTGTTGCGGTGTACCCGTGAGCTACGGAGCTAAAGTAGACAAAAAACGGCTCCTAAAACACAGCCCTCGTACTTTTTTTAACCATATCAACCCTTATATTTTATGTGTTATAAGATATAACTGGTGATCTTATAAATTAACTTGTAACCAAATGTTAAACTATAAAATTAGTGGAGTGGGGTATCAAAAACTGAAAAAAAACCAAAAACTTGACTGACGGGACATTTTAATTTGAATAATTGTTTCATCTGGTTTCTGGCTAGATGCTGACTACCATTGAGTCAGTTGTTATTCATCCCAGTATTATTTCACTTGACAACTGTAATGTTGACTCAATATATATATATAGAAAGCACTACACCCACTTGTAATACAAATATTTTTAATTTGATTGATTGAATGATATACCATATATCAATTCAAATAACTAATAATTGAATTATTTTAATTAAATACGAACTTAGCTATACTATTTGGAAAAATAATGACGAGGCAAAATATTGGTTTGGAAGTAAACTTGTTAAAAAAACTTCTGAATAAATAAGCATAGTATTTAAAATTAAGATTATTTCAAGCATCTCTTAAGCTTTGGGTGAAAGCAGAAGGATCAATTTTAATTATTTACATTATAGAAAGATCTCTTATCAGCTATAAATAGAAAAAAAAAACGTAAGTGTTTCAGCACAGGACACGTATGTTTTCACTCTTATTACAAAGTAGACAGACAGGGTATTGTAGACAGACTGTAATTATTATAGCTGTAATTTTGTTACAGAGGAAAACAGAGTTGAGATTCTAAGAATCTCTGGGAAGAGTGATCTCAAGTTCTGTGAAAACGCCACATTAGAATGTGAAGTTCGACCCATTGAGGCCTCTGTGTGGTGGACGATCAGAGGCGAAAACATCACAGAAAATGACAGGTTGGTAAAACCAGCTACTTGTATATAAACTCCATATATTCAAATTCAAAACTTCTTTATTTGTTTCATGTACAGCAATACAATAAATAGCGTCACAGTTCCTTAATCTAACTCAGTACATTGTTGAATTGTTCAGTTATGAAATTGACAGTTATCTACATACATCAGCATTCACATCAGTTAAATTGTACAACTCCTCAAGAGAGTGAAATGCATTTCTGATCAAAAAACTTTTGAGTTCACTTTTGAACTTGTTTTGATTTTCTGTGCTCAATATTTCTATTGGAATATGTTTTAAAAATACCTATAAAATTTGGTATTAAGTAACGATCTGAATTTTGTTGGTTTTGATCAAAACAAAGTAATATTTTAGCTCATTACTCCTGACACTATAACCTCAACAGTTAACCATTGAACTGCTGGTTACCACCATTTCTTTAGTGCCATTGGTCCCAAATTGACCAATCCATTATTTTACATATTCAAGCTCATAATCATCACAGTGACTCTTATTAAGCATAGATGTTAAGTTAAAAATAAAAAAATTGAATTCTTGTTTTCTAATTTCATGATGGTTGGCCAGTGGATCGTTAAAATTAGCACTAATAAGGTTTATGTTACCTGTCTTCTGTCTCCAATCCATGGTAGTTTTAAGAAACTACAGCTGTTTCGTGCCCTCTACTGGCACATCCTCAGGTTTGGTGAACGCCAGCTTTTCTATAAAATATCCCTCGGTGTTGAGTTCGTCATGGTTTTACGAAATACATGTAGACATTTACACACACAAAAACACGCACAAAACATTTAAACACTAATTAAGGAACGACTGCGAAATGTGATACGGCGCCGGTGAAGGGTAAGTCGCGACTGTCATGTGTCGGCAGCGCTGACCCCTACCCCTGTTCTATCCTTATCTAACCTTTCTTTTGTTTGGTAATCAGTTATCAGGATGGCTGTGTTGTAAATTATATTAGAGTCAAAGGACTGTTTTTCGTTCAAAATATGATGTGGTTGTTCTTTTGATGCCCTATATATTTCGTATTCTTCTATCGTATCCATATAGCGTCCTTTATTGCAAAAGTGTAAAATATCTATATTATTGTGAATGTCTGTATAGTTATGGTTTGTGGCTGTTAGGTGGTTGGAAAAAGCTGATTTAGAGTTATTTTACAGTAGGTGCTCTTTAAATCGGGTTGTGAAAGATCTGGCAGTTTGTCCTATGTAAAAACTGGGAAAGTTGTCGCATTTTAATAGATTCCGGTTTTGTTGTTGTTATCTATGTGGGATCTGTTCTTGACTCTGACCTATGACGACAGCTTGTTTGTCACTTAAACGATACTGTTATATCATTTTTTGACAGTTCTTTTCGTAGAGTATCATTTAAAACTACACCGAATTCAGTGCTAACATATTTTTTGTTATTTTCTTTGGAGGTTACTTCGGTTCGGTTACGGTGTTTTCTGATCAATGAGGTTGCTACTGTATCCATTTGACACTGCAATATGCTTTATCATCTTAACTTCGTTATTGTAGTTGGTTGGGTTGAGTGGTACGGTGAGTAGACGATGGACGAAACTATTGTAGGCGGATAATTTGTGGCTATAGGGGTGGTGTGATGATGAGTGGATAGTTTGGTCAGTTATAGTCGGCTTCCTGTAGATATTGAGCTCTAAGTTACTGTCTTTTCTTGTTATAGTGAGATCCAGGAAATTAATAGATTTAGATACTTCCATTTCAAGAGTGAATTTCATTTTTTATGTACATTGTTGAGGTATGTTTTGAGAATGCTGATTTGTCTAATGTTACCGTTGAACAATACAAGTGTGTCGTCCACATATCTTCTGTAAAAAACTATTTTGCTACGTTGGCGGTTCGAGTCCGAACAAAAGTGTTGATTTTCTAAGTTGTTCAGAAATAATTCGGTGAGAATACTTGATAGCGGCGATCCCATCGTTAACCCTTCATTCTGTTTATAATATTTGTTCTCAAATGTGAAGTAGCTCTGTTTTAGGACACAGCGCACTAAATTTATCAGTTCATTATATATAATAAACAATATTATAAACAGAATGAAGGGTTAACGATCAAAAACGGTAAGAGATTTGAAGCAAATATTTGAAAGAATTTTCATGGTCAGGAATGAAATTTTCCATGAGACTCACCCACGTGTATTTTTGAAAATCGCACTCCTTCACCTTCAAAAAATGCCCTGCACTTCAAAAATTTGTAAAATGACTTGACATGTTTTTAATTTTTGAAACTACTTTTCCAACATATATTTTTACTTTTAATGATACCAACATTGAAAGAAAAGTGCCTTAAGTGACATTTTAAAATTGTAACCTACAAAAAAAAAAAATTAACGCTTGTTGGGCCAAACCGTTGTGCACGGGTGGTCTGATTCACCCTGTCTAAATTTGCTTTCACATCAGTTTTCATGTTCAAAACTCATATGATTGATACTTGTTTCAGATTCAAAGTGGTTGCCAGGGATTCAGGGGACACTATGATAAGTGTCTTGATAATGACATGTGCGACTCTGGATGACATTGGCAACTATTCTTGTCACGCTTCTCCTTCTGATTGGACAGACGACCAAGTTTCTCAAACATTTCCCATTGACATTACAAGTGAGTGGTTTTAAATATGGACCATTTTCATAAATATAATTGAAAGAAATCTTTTCATTCGAGTGGAGCTTAATCGACTTTTAATGTAATATTTAATTATTCATGTTCAGTTAAACCTCAACCTAGAAACATGGAGTGAGGTGAGAAAGTTACGATTACTCTAAGTTATGGTATATACAGGGTGTTCAAAAGTCTATTTTAGTTGTAAAATTAGACAAACCTGACTGCCTAAGCCTTATTCTACCCCATTTTACAACTAAGAATGGTGATATTTTAGCTATTTTTATCTGGTCTTTTTGAACTTGATATCATTTGGTAGGAAATAAAACTGTTCTTTAAATTTGTTTATAAAATCAGCCATATTTTAGTAATTTAAGTTTAAAAAATTAAAATGGCTGCCATTTTGAAATCTGTGTTTGAATTAAGATAACTTTTTTTATAATGAAAATTAATAGGTATTGAATTGGGACGTTAAAAGTGTGTTAATGGCCACACGGTTTTATCATTTTCATGTAGGCTTCTTTTTATTTACAATCAAATCTAGGTTTTATAACTATGGGTAGTAATCCTTAGCTTTTAAGTATTAACCCTCTAGGTGTCAAATGTCAACTCATCGATGGTAACAACCTGTTTTGGGATGTCAAGCATGGATGCATCGACGGTTACTTATATTCTCTTAATTCAGTTGATTTTACTCCCATTTGGACTAGATTTAAATCACTGTAAGTAAATCCTATATCGTTACTCATTTGTCAATATCCAGATGTTTTGAGAAAGTCAAAAGTTTTTTGTTGCCGTGTTGCATGTTGTTGTTTACAAGATGTTTGTTACTATAGGTTATTCTCTATTGAAAATGGATTTTAATCTCTCGGAAGGGTTAAGTTAGTTAAGTTAGTTTTAGTAATTCTTTATTTTGTAATGTATTCCTAAGTCAAGTGCTATTCCCCATAAAAACAAACCTCATTGTAATTTATCTCATTTTCCAGTCCCTGGTCAAGTAGTCTCCACCCAGGATGTTCGAGAGAAGCTGGGAAGCAGTGGCAACCTGAGCTGTACCTTCTCAGGATATCCTTTGTACCAGTTGGAGTGGCGGAAGGACAATCACTCTATCCCAGAGTCCAGGTGGGGCTTACCTTTCTAGTCGGGTCCGCGGAATTGGCTAACTCTGGAACTCGCTAACCCCATGTTAAACGCCCTATCTTCAAATTTAGTCGATGAGAGGAACTCGCTAACTTGTTCGGTTTCGGAATTGGCTAACTCCGGAACCCGCTAACCCGCTCTAGAGCCGGGTTAGCGAATTCCGTCCTCGCACGGAAGTCGCTAACTCGGTCCCTCGGCGGAACTCGCTAACTCCCAATCAGAAGCCTCGCGAGCCGTCCAATGGGAGCAAAGCACGGATATTTTTGGCCAGTGTTGCCGAAAGTGTAGTACCTATATCGTATCTGTACCATAATGTCGTATCCTACGATTAATTAGGAGTAAGAGCAACGTAGTCGATAAAATAAATATATTTAGAAGTATGTTTAACATTATTCCTATGATTATTATTGTGGAAAATGCATTATAGTCTTACCATAGATAGACTAACCAACACAAGTAAACTTTACATCCCATTGTAAACGTTGAAGCTCGTTTTTTGTGTCTAGTTCATGTCCGGTGACACTGATCGCTAGTGTCGACAAAATTGTGTTTATATTATTTTATAGTTAACTTCATGATTTGTTCTTTACTGTTTGGTTATATAACTAGGGTACGTGTTATTAGTTGTGATTAGAACGTTTTATTTGGTTAAACGAGGTTTTAAATTACTGAAAACAAGAAACAATTGTAAACAAAACACGACCTCTAAAGATAGTGCACCGGACAGAACTAACAATAAAACTGTCTTCAGCTGATCCATAAGGATGAGAAATGAACTAATATAAGGGAGTATATTTTATATGTGGGTTTCTTACTTAAATAGTAGCTTATTGGTATGCAAAAAGATAAAAATGCACATTTAATTTGGATCTATTACATGTTATGAAATATTTATTTTCGTAGTCCGCCATTTGTTTCTTTTATTCGAATAAATACCATTTTGTAAATTTCTGCAAATAAAATTATTGAGTTTATTTTATATACTGGGCTTGTAACCTTGAATCATAAATCATAATACAATTTAAACGTTAAACGTCATTAAAGAATTACATTGTAGTGGTAATGTATTTTTAAATAGAGCTATTGAATTTAAATACATATTTATCGATACATTATAAAGTGGTAGGCCTAATGTATTCATGGATTGTATTAAAAGTTAGTCTATGCATAAATACAACTTGTAAATTTCTTTTATCGTAGGCTATTAGTGTAGGCCCGGCGTCATCCTCTTAATTTTGTTGAATTAATATTAACTAGTGTACATTTTGCTCGAATTCGAGCAATTGCAAAGTATTACAGGAGTTATTTCAAAACGAATAACAGTCATATTTACAATGAGTTTAAAAGAGCCAACTCAAAGATTACTGGTGTGTAACTCAGACCATGTTTATCTTCGTTATTGATAAACCTAAAGCATTCCGGCCGGTTTTCTCCTACTCAAAATGCCTCGCTGTACAGGCAACACAGGTCATTGATAGAGGGCCAATTGAGAACGAAAAGTCGTTTTCGGGTAGTGTTAATGGGCGCATTTGTAACCTAATAGTTGAGATTGTCCAGGGTCAGGTGCTGACTGTGATGAGTTAAGCCTATTAAGCGCCACTGTTCTTTAGCTACGGTCGTTATCACGATTACGCCTCTTGTCTATATTTCGTTGTCGTCGCGTCGGAGGCATTTAAAAGAAAAAACAACAAATAAACAAATGATAGCTACACAAAACAACGATAAATGCACAAATTTAAGTTACAATCATGCTAACACGACCAGTCATGGCGACATAAAACAACGATAAATACACAAATTTAAGATACAACCATACTAACACGATCCGTCTTAAGGGTTATGTTTACACAAACTCAAATCTATATCTATAAAAGAGGAACTATGTATGTGTGTGTGTATGTATATACGTTATGGACTCCGAAACCGCTCGACAGATTGTAATGAAACTTTCAGGCATTATTAAGCATCTTTCAAGGATGGTTCGAGTGAAGTTTGGTGCAGATCTGTCAAAAGGGCTCTGCCCCAGAGGGTTTTAAGTGGGCCAATGTCAGACTTTTTGATCTACAATGTTTACAAATAAATATAATTTAAAAGCAGATGTTTACTTTCACCAACTGTTTTGTACGTTTGAATAACTACAACATTCTGTATTAGCATTAGTCATGATTTGAAATAGTGCCACAGTGTTTCTACAGATTGCAGCACAGAAAACTATTTTACTTTTAAATAAGTCCAAATGTATTAAACCCCAATCGCAGCACACCTGTGCACTTAACAACGTTTAAATTCTCCAATGTTAAATATTAAAACATAAAAACCTTTATAAAAGTACTGTATTATAAACAATAAAAGGGATGCATTTTTTAAATGTATGACAACAACTAATTTGCAACCAAAAGGTGAGTGAGCGTAGCGAACGAACATCAACCTGGAGGCGAGTAAGCGTAGCGAACGAGCTAACCTGAAAACAAGTGAGCGCAGCGAACGATTTCCAACCTGAAGGTGAGTGAGCGTAGCGATCGAACTTCAACCGGGACGTGATTGAGCCATGCGAATACTTAATGAAGTTAAACGGGGCAAAGCCCGTGGGTACAGCTAGTATTAAATAAATGTACTCAATGCGTTTCATTGAATTTAAAAATAAATGACAGCAATTAAATTATACAGCTGATCAAAATGTTAACAATTATGTTCTTCATAAGGATAACATGGGAACTTTTAAAGCCACTGGGGCAGAGCCCAAGGGACTTTTTTCAAAGATGTAAGGCCAGTTTGCAGATCTACGCAACACGCTCTTTCCAATGAGACGTCAATTGATAAAATCGGTTAAGAAATGGCAGAGGAGTTCAACCGACAAAGTTTCATGTAGCGTATTAATTATATAGATTTTACGTCTTTCAGTAGGCCTACTTTTTAAAAGTCTGGAGTTTTTCTCTTGGATGATTCTAAATGGATCCAGGCGTTCTTGTTTGTTACAATTCTATGAATTGGTGGCCATAGCTAAAATTACTTAATCTTATCCAAAACAGTAATTTTAATTCACGATTCTTAATAAACGAATTGACGGATTTTCCTGATTTGAGTGTTGGGTTTCCTTTATATTGCTTTCACAATCGATATAAACTATACCAAGCCATTGCTCGGTTCACCGTTCCCCAGTACTGAGCTCCACAATAGACAATAGAGCTATTGTCTATTGTGGAGCTCAGTACTGGGGAACGGTGAACCGAGCAATGGCTTGGTATAGTTTATATCGATTGTGAAAGCAATATAAAGGAAACCCAAAACTCAAATCAGGAAAATCCGTCAATTCGTTTATTAAGAATCGTGAATTAAAATAACCGTGTCACGTTTTATTATATGAACTAGCTGTACCCGCGGGCTTTGCCCCGTTTTACTTCATAACGCCTCTTTCACACGACGCGGCGCGCGCCGTGCGGCGCCCGCCGGATCCGGCGTAGGGCTATGGGAGTATATGAGTCCTTTCACACTATGTCCGGCGCGCGCCGCGCGGCGAATTCGCCGCACGGCGCGCGAGTTACCGCCGGATGCACCTTGAGCCGGACGACAGCGCCGCGCGGCGTCCACGCCGGACAACTCGGTGAAGGTGCATTGGTTCTTATGGGAGCTTTCACACGGTGCGGCGCGCGCCGCACGGCCCAACCCCTACGCTGCCTCATTTTAGGCAAACTACCTGACCAAGAGGGTGCAACAGTTAATTAAGAAATTATATATCGTTGTATCGGAAAATAATATATTTAAAGTTATTACAAAACATACATTTTTATGTTAATCCCATGCAAATCGACCAACTTAAAGTATTAAAACAAAAATTTTCCTTTAATAACTAGAGGAAAATATTTAGTATTAAATTAATTAATTAAAAAATTAAATTAGTAATTTATACGTAATGAAACATTTTTTTTTAACTTCTAAAATACAATATTTTCAGATATGACGAATACATATATATAATACGTGAAGGTGATTTCTACGAAATACTACTCCTCCTTTAATAATGAACCGATTTTTACAAACCATGTGTCAAAATTAAGTATTTGTTGTGTACACGCCCCCTTTCACCAATTCCTGTAGTTAAAGTCCTCGGGCTTTGCCCCTCAGGCCATCAAAATCCCAATGTATATATTTCCCAACAGACTAAAAATTGTGAAAGTTCTTGAACTCCCATACCGATTTGCATAGTTTAAGTTACATGATATGACTATTTATTTTTCCAAGATCTTTCACTGGGGAGATTCTTGGTCAAGTCATTTACTTATATTATGCCTTTTACTAATTGTTCACAGTTGTACTAAACAGATTGTAAAATAAAATAAAGTTAAAAAAAATCTTATGAAGACAAGATTTTGTTTAGTTAAACGGACGAATAATTTGTATTAATTACAGATGTTCATAGTACACACATGATACACACAAGAGTTTTCGTTTTCAGTTTCGATAGATGGAGTGGAGTGAGCGTTCGTTTTCAGAGTGAGTTTATTATATTTAAAATTATCCTATTCATTTAATTTGAACTTTTAAGTGGAGTATTAATTTAAAAGCCACAACTGAACAGAAAATAATAAATATTTAGGAGTGCCGTACGGCGCGCGCCGCACGAAACCGTACTAGTGTGAAGACACACGCTTGTCCGGCGCAGCGCCGCGCGGCGGACGCCGTACGGCGCGCGCCGCTTCGTGTGAAAGAGGCGTAAGTGAGCTCGTTCGCATGGCTCAATCACGTCCTGGTTGAAGTTCGTTCGTTACGCTCACTCACCTTTAGGTTGGAGCTCGTTCGCTGCGCTCACTTGCCTTCAGGTTAGCTCGTTCGCTACGCTAACTCGCCTCCAGGTTGAAGTTTGTTCGCTACGCTCATTCACCTTTTGGTTGCATATTAGCTGTTGTCACTTCTGTGTATAATGTCTACATTAAACCAGAAATAAATGCTGTAAAAAATAAAAATAAAAAAAAATAATAGTGCTGCACCCTGTTGGTAATTCTTGTAACTTTAATGCTATTGAACGTCATAGAATAGAACCAACTTGTTTAATTGAAACAGCTGTTAAGATTCATTAATTCCATTTAAATATGAGTACTCATAAGGTTAACATGGGAAACTCCAGAGCCACTGGGGCGGAGCCCGAGAGTCCGATCAGAATAAAAACAACTTAGTTTTCCTGCCTAAAGAAACAGTGTACCAAATTTCAGCCTCCTAGGTAAATGGGAAGTGGGAGAATTAGTGATGAGTGAGTGAGTGACCGAGTGAGTCAGTCAGTCAGTGAGGGCTTTGCCTTTTATATATAGGCCTATAGATATTATATCTTCTACTATTTTTTACTAGTGGTGCTTAGGTGTACAATCTAAAAACGGTTTTATAACATGTAACATAAATCTGTTTTCCGTGTTTAAGAACTTGCGTGTATTTTAGCTTAGTTTCGTAGAGGTTTAATTATTTAGTACCAATTAAACTGAAATTTTAATATTTTTCATATTCTATTATTTTCTTTTGTACTGATGGCATTTATATTTAAGATCGAAATCATAAACACTTAACTGGCCATTGTACAGTTTAATAAAAAATAAAAAAAACACTTTTTCATGATTTTTTATTGTCTTTGAATTACTTTGGGCTAGTTATCTGTTAAAAGTGGAATTGATAACAAAAAACAATAACATTTACTGTATCTTTATTGACACTGGCATTTTGAAATACGGCAGTGTACGATTATTTTGTCGTACAAGGTTGGCAACGCTCCGTGCAGTGGGCGCGGCCGGGTTAGCGACTTCCAGAGTTAGCGAATTCCGCCGCGAGACAAAATCGAGTTAGCGGGTTCCGGAGTTAGCCAATTCCTGACTGAGACGGTTAGCCAGTTCCAGAGTTAGCCAGTTCCGACACACGACCGAGTTAGCGAGTTCCTGAGTTAGCCAATTCCTACGTCTCTTCTAGTCCTGTAAATAATGTAGAGGTTTGCACTGTCCTGAAAAACTCAGTATGATTCCTATTCGAACGAGTCCGAAATGGGTTTTCAACATTTTTGACTGTCAAAACATAAAACTTAAAAAATAAATAATTTAGTTCAGTAAAGTGATGTTGTACGCCAAAAAGTTACTGAGAAAATCTAAAAAAAACTTTAAATTTAAAATTTGTTTTAAGGATATTAAGTAAATTGTTATAGTTTTCTGGTTTATGGATGTATTATGATCAAGTTTGACAAATTGTGTAATTTAATACTAACATAATTCATACTAATCATTTCACTACGAACAAACCTTAAATAGCAGCAAACCTAATTGCACGTTAAACGTAATTGTATTTAAAAAGGGAAAAAATTTGACATTTTAAGGAAATATTTGAGTGTAAATCAAATCAGACAAATGGAAATTCGCTTAGTCCGCAGATTTGCTGCGATGGGAATATTAGGTAAATTTTACTGTTACCAATGGTCCGAACTTTTGGTAACTGTCACCATCCCTTCTCAAACTGTCGGATTATTGAAAGTTACCTGTATTTATATTTATTATGTATGCTTGAAATAGTTGAAGATTATTTACAAAGCATGATCAACTACAATAAAACTTGCGTTGATGTTTCAGGTGGGAGATTGTGTACAGCAATGTTACGTGTCTTCAGACAGTTCTGCCCCTGAGTAAACTCGCCTCGTCTGACAACGGAACATATCACTGTTCCGCCCTTAGTGCTCAGGGCCCAGTCTCTGCTCCTGTCCATGTCTTTGTCTTAGGTAATATTTGTACTCATTTACAACTGAGCTAAATTTAGAATTTTTTGAGCTCATTAGATATGATCATGTAATATTTGTTAACACAGAATACACTTTACTCACCTAATTAATGTTGGTCTTCCTTTTAGTATGTTTGTTCCTGGATGTATTGGTGTTAAGTGGATAACCTTTTTTTTGATACTTCACAATGTGAATAATTTTTATTTGCATTAATTTCAATAATTATTGTCTAGTAGTTATTGCTATAGTATTAAATTCGTCACCCCCCTAAGAATTTCATTTAATTACCAGCAAAGAAAAGAGTGAATGACGATTTTGGGATGAACTTAAAACTGTGATCAGGGTTCAATAAAACATGTAATATCATTTTGGCTTGTCTTAAAGAATTTAGTAATGATTTACACCGGATATACAAGTTAGTTGAACTATAAATCCCTAAACTATGATTACCCAAAATAACAACAATTCCTATATCAATTTTAGATACTGAAGTTGGTTTAGAACACCGTACTTTACTATAAAGTTTAAAATAGTGTTAGATTAAAGATTTTATTAGAAACATATTTTTGGAATTTTTAGAATCATAACAAAATAGGTAACTACTATCCAAACATACACAAACACAATCGGCCTACAAGTTAAAGATTTTTGCTAATGTAAAGAAATCGGATTTCAATGTACATTTTATAGACAAATTTTGTCTAAAATATACTACATACTACAAGCTCATGTATTCAGAGAGCAAATTAGATCCCTTTGGTAGGTCGTTTTACTCCCTTTATAAATTGAGTACCTTATGACCCTACTTGCAATCCAGGATGGTAGCTCATCATAAACTTAACACATTTAAAGATATTTTTGCTTATATTTAATGTGTTCCCAAATTGGTGTTATATTTATTTAAATCAAATCATAGCCTTTAAATATGTACTCTACGTAATTGTATAAACAATAGAACAAACAAATTATTTATGTTTTTTAGTTAAGTTTACCTCATTTATGTTTTTCAGATGTACCCCATGTCACAATAGAAATAGTAAAAGTAGTTGGTGCCCATAAAATATTTCTTAACTGGACAGTAAATGATGGAAATTCACCCATTAAAGAGTACAACATTATGGTAAGTAACTTTTTTGAGTCAGGTTTCTTAGAGCTGAATAATAAAACTGATTATTTGCTTAGTAATTTTTTCCACTTACTAAAGCTCATGAACTTTTTAAAATAATAAAGTTTTACTTACGAACCTTTTCCTGTCACTGTATTTGGAAAAGTTTTGAGTTTATCTTTTGTCCTTAATGTATTTCCAAATTAAAATGCATTATAAATTATCTCAGCTTCCTAAATATGTTATATGTATTTTACTGTTATATTGAGTTGGTTTCAAACCTAAGTAGTTTTAAAAATTTTACTTAAATTTTTAAACTAATATTCTTGCACATCAAATGTTATCTCATACTGATAGTTGATGTTGTGTGTTTTACAATTTATATGATCGATTTTATTGTTCAAATTTTATTTTAATTGGCAAGCCAATAGAAAAAAATTGAAACTGTGATCATTTGCTGTGTAAAAAAGCTACATAAAAAAATGGCTGGTGTTTAAAACTTCATGGGTGAATTTGAGAATTTGAGAAAGGTAAGGAAACTCTTGTGATGGTTAGTGAAGTATTCATAACCTTCTGGGGCACTGGTGTCTTTTAATGTATTGTCTATCATGTATTTTTCTTATTGTCACAAAAATTTATTGTAAGTAATGGTTCTTATCTGGGATTTCAGTTTATGAAAAATGGCACAAATGAATGGACGTTCACTCGGGAACGAGTGAAAGTGACTAATACAAGCTACGTCATAAAAAACCTCGAAGCTGACACAAGCTATAAAGTCAAGATCAATGCCGTCAATGCCAACGGTCCAAGCAAGGACTATACTTATCAGGATTATGTACATACTTTGAAAAAAGGTAAATAATTAACTGCCAGACTTCTATTAGAAATATAAATATTATATATAGGCCTAATATTGAAGTAGGACATTACCGACATTACACTATCTTATTCTGTCGATTTTTCAAAGTTAGGTTTCAAAATCTAGGCTACATGCCTATACTTGACAAGGCTACTTGTCTCTTGAGAAAACTACCTTAAAATACCTATCATGTGAATTGTTAGTGTTTCACATGCCAATCATATGTTATCAATTTTATTCAAACTTCTAAAATCTGTCAACAGTTTGTTCATCTAAATACAACACAAGTTATATTAGGCTTAACTAGCCTAATACCAGCCCAGGGTCTTACAGACAAAAAAGATCACAAAAGTTGTCTTATACTTAGACGAAATATTAGTGTTTTGCCATTAGCTGTAAATCATTCACGAACATCTTGCAATGTTTTTTTTTACTGAAATTTGCACAGCCGACATTGAGTTGCCATTCACAAAAGCTGTGGTATAATCTGCAAAAAGTATTAGTTCTGAATTAGTTTTTTTGGGACAAGTCATTGATTCATTTCGGGAGAACAAAGCAAATTCTGTAACAATATTTTTCAAATATGACACCATGCCATGTAGAATTTTTTTTATAATTCATGTAAAATACCTGGCCTGTTTTTATGGTAAAATATTAAGAGTGTATAAACTACGAAACAGTTGTATAAAATAAAGGGAAAATAATTTAGTAAATCATTTACTAAAGTATAACCATGCTTAAGATTTGATTTACGAAATAATAAAATATTTTCACATATCACTTGATAAATTTTAGCAAGTAAAGACAATGATTTGTAACAGATCCAGACATAGTACCCATCCTGAAATTCAAAGCGGGAGGAGCTGACTTTATAAACGTGGGATGGGAGGTCCCTACAGAAGACGAAGACCATGTCCACCTTCTAGAACTGGAGTTGACCCACAACACTACCAGACTAAAGAGCATTAGCATGCAGTCCCTGGCTACTGACAACAAGAATATGCTGTTTGGAAAACTGGCATCAGCCACCACTTACCTTATACGGGTGAGAAGGGAAAATAAATAACCCCGATATGATTTAAAGATAAATTGTAATAGCTGTGTTAGCTCTTCATTCTGTATGTCATACAGTGTGGAGTCTACTCAACACTATAAAATTCAATGTAGCCATTTTCACAGTGCACTCTGCACAAGTGTGGGCCGCAATAAAGGAAGAGTTGATTTTTAAAATTTGCTAGGTTTTCATTTGGTTAAGGTTAACAGCTTTCTGAACTTAACAGTGGTTTTGCATTATCATGACATATGGATATGACAAATGGCCAATAGAATTTGAGGAATGTAAACAAAGAAAATATAAAAATTTATGTTTTCACTTTTGCTGCCATGGAAACCCATTAATATTTACTTTCCGTAGTACACCCTAGTGAAACCTTTAGGCAAGGCCCCAAGTTAAATTATAAGACTGGCAACAAGGCCCTGAAACTCCTTGGACTGTAACTTATTACGTAAGAAATTTCTGCCTAATAAGCAGTTGCAATTGTTTTTCCAAGATTAAGAAAGACGAACAGACACCTTAATCATATTTGTATTAAGTTGTATTATTTATTACAGGGAAGAGCCTGCAGTGAATATACATCCCAGTGTGGCAATTGGTCTGAATACATCAATGGAACTACTATTGATGGAGGTAAATGCTTGTGTGATATCTAATGCTCAAATTTGGTATTAGATTAAAAATATCCAAGTGGTATGGTACCAAGATTAACTAATCTTGGGGCTTTCAACCTTCTATGTAACCCAACCATCACTGGAAACAATCGAGCACAAAGAAATTACTATTTCAGTGTTCTCAATGAACACTGTAGTTGGTACATCGTGGCAACGTCTTTTACTGCCCTTTTCGTACTCATAAGATACAACGCCCTAGGCTTATGGTGCCTGCACTTGGTTGTATTTCTTAATTTAGCCTACTGTGTACGTCACAGTTCATCAACATGTCTTACCTTACCTGTATACCACCTCTCTGGTGCCCCTTACGTTTTGGTCTCAGTTTAAATAGAGACTTTTGGGGTACACTTCCATATCTGTTGGCACAAACAACCGAATGAGTAATATTGATTATTCGATTGTTTAGTATATAGTAATAGTTTAGTAATAATCAATATATCAATCGATATTTTCATTCGGTTGTTTGAGCCAACAGATATGGAAGTTTACCAGACTTTTGGCTGAGTGGACAAGTATTACCTATAGTCTTGTTATAGTTTGTGGTTTTTTAATAAGTTGGTTTCATGTCATTTGTGAAGATGGTTGAAAAACAGAAAAATGTAGCTGTCTCAATGTATAAACACCTCAGGGGTGCCCATCCCCCCCAAAGCTCACGTCACAGAATCCCCCCCAAATTTGTTGTTTAACCCATGCCGGAAGGTCTGGGGGCTAACCCATAGTTATGTTTATAATGCATATAGCATATGTTTATAGTTATGTTTATAGGGAAGGGGTGCCCCCGACACTTAATAAAATTTATAGGAATTTAAGCGTTTGAATCAAACTTTTAACCCAATTTAAATGGACAATTTTCCTTTAAAACTCTAGTAGCAAACTATTTGTTAGTTTAGTTTTAATTTAAATGAGTTGGATTTTTAACATGCACACAATTTGAATCAAAATTAGCCATGTAGTTTTTTTTATCCGATTTTCCATGGGTTAATAGGTTTTAAAAGGGAAAATCACAAAAGTTGTAATAACTTTTGAACCATAATTTTTACGGCATAGAGGGTTTATACAATTTTTGTCATAGTCAAAGAGTATAACGTGTTAATTTTTAATCAAAATCGTTCGGGCCAATTCTGAGAAAATTTTCTTCATCCATTATTTTATAGGGTTTTATGGAATATCACTATTAAAAATCCAAAATGAAAAAAAAACATCTGGAGAGACCATGGATTGGTACCTAAAATACCAAAATTCATCAAAATCGGACTCGGACCACAGGCGTGGTCTGTAGCTCAGTACCATACACACATACACACATACAGACAGACACACACATCACTTCGAAAACCACTTTTTTGGGATCAGGGTTTCTACATAAACAATTCTTTTACCATATTAAATTGTAGGGGAGAAAGTACTTGAAGTTATGTCAAAAAGTTGAGATATTTTCTAAATTGCCCTTTAATCCACTTCTGAGTTTGGTCCTTTTTAAATAAGTGTAAAATATTCAGTCTCAAAAATATTACTAGGCCTTAACTTAATAGCATATTTCGTGCCTAGGCCAAAATGAGGTTTTGCTGGTTCGAGGTAGTTTTTAAGTTCGATACGAGGTCGAGGACGTAAAACGATCGAGAACTGCAAAACCATTTCAGTCCGAGGTACGAACGCTATTATTCACCACCCCACACTATACCCTATTACCACTAATTCACCTCAATGATAATGCACTGCACACTGATATAGTCAACACAACTACAACTTTAAGGTCATGTGGATAAATAATTTGAGGAATCAGCAAAAATAATAATAAATAGTTGCTAGGCAGCGGTGACAATAAAACAACTCTATTGCAATGCTATGGATACTGATTGTGTATTTAAAGCGGGCAGCTGATTTTGCGGCCCTAGGGATGTAAAAACCTGCTCGATCCCCGAATGACGATGACAGCTGGCATGGCCTGCAAAACGTAACTTTCAGCCACCAATTAATGTACCTATATGTAAAACAGTTAAAAACATCATAGTGTGGCAAAATAGTACATTACGTTACTAGTCCTGAATCCCGTGCGAGACGAAGTCGAGTAGAGGTTTTTTTTTATACGAGTCCGGCCAACACATTTTGGACGAGTGACGTACGATAGTTTACGCCATACTACTAAATCCGTTCAAATCCCTATATTACCACCAACTAAAGGACTAAAATCACTTTTGTTATAACCACTCATTGCCACCCAAATACAGTATAATCAGCTGATTGGTGTCCGGCAAAACTCATAACTGTACAGTAGTAGGCTACTGTATGAAACCCCATTTGATTAAGGACAAACAGCTGTTTTCTGGACTAAATCCTTGCATGGGAAGTTCGTCAAAATAGTGTAGTGTGAAGTAAAAAAATAATTATATATCTATTCTAAGACTAGTAAAATTTGTTTGAAGCTCTTTCTAGATTCAAGAAAAGACAATAACAAATACAATTTAATTAATCCAGAATCATGTGTTTCAGTTCTTGAAGTTAACGTAAACACATAGCCTATCAAAAACCTTAATTAAATTGTCACAGTACTGTATGTCAATTTCTTCCAATGAATAAATGACCCAGGCATAATTATTTGGGAGAGCCAAAATATTATCCCAAGCTTTCATGTTGTTGTTCATGTTGTAAAAATAGCAAAATGATTATCATTATCATAATACTGGTTTTTTATGAATCAAGAATATATTATAATAAACAAACCTAAAAAACCATCAATAGGTCCTCAAGGCAATGAGACTATTTGAGAATGAGTTCATAATGAAAGGTAAAAACAAACTCAAATTGCAGATACAATTTAATAAGCAACCATAATCCTTTGACAGCAGTTGGCAAGGAGTTGTTCTCACTGTCAAACATGATACGAGTCCAAAAGCGGAAATCCACATAAAAGTATCTATATATTTTATAGCAATTATAAAATGATTTATTAATCAAGATGAAATATCAAACGGGATTTCGATTGCATAATTACCCCAGTAATAAATTAAGGAGGTCGTAAAAATTATCTGATTAATCTTTTATGTGCTTTTAACCAACCACTGGCTTGAATCCCCCCCAAAAAAAATTCTGATGTCGCATTTTACGACATCAAACCCCCCTGTGGGCACCCCTGAAACACCTTAAATAGGTTTACAAACGGAGATACATAATCCATTTATTAATTTATAACATGTTTACTTAGGGTTTATTATATTCCTAGGACCTTTAGATCCTTGGCAATTGGGTTCTATGAATTGGTCATTTTTAGGTTCTCATTGGAGAGACATAGTCATAGACATAATTTATTTCACAAAACGCTGAATACATGTAATATAACATTAACAATAAGGTGCACTGTCAAAATAAAAACATTGTCTGTACATAAAACATATTTAACTAAACAGAAAATCAAATTGAAATCAAACAGGAAAATATATTCTAAATTACATTTGTGTAAAAATCTTTAATTGAATAAAAAGCTTTGTCATTGAGTAAATTATCCATGGTTTCTTTAAATATTATTTTGTTCATTAACTTGTAGCATTAAGGAAGTACAAATCACAATCTCAGCCCAACATACAATGGACTTTCATAAAAGGGTCAATCGGTGTTTGGGGAGTCTATAAATATTTTCATTGCGAGTTTCATACCTGTGGTTGAAATCTATTGTTTATGGTGACTCATTAGTAACTGAAAGTATATAGGCTATCTTAATAATTCTAGAATATACAGTTTAAGTTAGAATTATTAAATTTTGAAAAGGTTTCTTACAAGAACTGTGTGAATGAGAATTAGTTATAGTACGAATAATCCGTTGTTGTAACCTGAATATAGAGAGAGAAATTCTTTATTTATACAAATTATTTTGCAGCAATACATCCAAAAATAAAAATATCACATGGGTCACAATGACCTGTGCGTGATAGAGTCCTTAACTGGCTGCTTCATCAAAATAAAAGTTCTTCACACTTCACTACATATAAAAAAAATCTAACAATAACTTGTTAAAATAAGCATAAAAATTAATTTACTATACAATTATAATTATAATAACCTAACAACCATATACAATGTGCAACTCAATAGCTGGGGAACTCATTGCTTGCATTACATCTGATGAACACATTAACTTTTTTTTCAATTCCCAATTTTACTGAGGCGTAGATTCCGTCAAGTAAGAGTGCTGTGGAAGGTACAGTACTTACAATAGATAGTTCAGTTAGAAGTAGGAATATAGATTTTATACCAGTAGCTTCACCCCATAAAATTATGCAAGAGATAGTAGGGAGTAGAGTAGCAAGAGCAAGAGAAGAGTAGCATGTATCAATATTTTTGATTTTAAGTTGCTTTAATGGCTTCCCTTAAATATTAAAATTTAAGAAAATATAGTGAATTTTACTGCCAATAACTTATTATACTTCAGGTTTATTCATTTTGATAAAAAAAATAAAAAATGTATTTAATTTCCAGAATCGGGACCACCGGAGAATGTAACTGTTGTCTGCAGATTTGACAATATGACAAGATCCCCGTTTGTTTTGGTTTCTTGGGCCCCACCTTCTCAACCTAACGGCAAAATTGTTTATTATAATGTAAGTTGAATACTGTATAACTAATTCTTCAAATATTTGAATATAATTTACCATATAAAGCTATTTATTAATCACAGTAGTTGGAAGAAAGTTGTAACATCCTACATATTTAATTCCAACTTGTTTTACTATGTATTTTTGAATAGACAGGCTAATATTTTTTAGTAAATAATTTCAGTGATGATGAAACAGGTTATTTTCCAACAACTGTAAATTATGTTGTGAAGTGAATTCATTTTTGGGATTGATGTTTTAGGTGACCTCAAAATTTAACATTCATCGAGCGTTGACTGTTTTCTGTCAAGGCCTCATGAAAGACATTGCATATGCTAATTCTATATCTGATACGTTCTCATTGAATACATGAATCAGTGATGCAATTAATTTTAACTGTCAAAGCGTCTGTCAATTAAAACCATTTTTTACTTGTTTGTAATATTTATTATTTTTATATTTTTAGTTGGAACAAATGTTGGGGTTTTTACGAATTCAACTTGTTATTTACTGTTGGAAGGTCTTTGGTTTGAATCTAAAATTATTTTGAATAGACTTGGGAATGTGGAGTTCAAAATTTTAGCCTAAGATATGACTTCTTCAGAGTAAATGTATTTTCTCTGACTTTTTGTGTATCTATAAACCTCTGTGTTCTTATTTCCTCTGGTAAGCTAGCTGAGCACCACAATAAACTTTAATATAGACAAATAGCATTTCTGCTTATAGCTCCTTAACATTTTGCAAGTGTTGGCTGCTGATAATTTGAACAAACTTGTTAATTTTTAACACCACTTTGTGTTTTTTCCTCAGGTTGTTTTAGAAGGCTCTGCGAAATTTAAAAATGAGAAAGGTGTTGATGATCACGTCACTTGGGGTCCAAAAGCAAAAAATGTTGATGAAAAATCCCACTCTGCTCGCTTTGACATGGTCCCACCTAATACAAACTACACGTAAGTAATGTTAATTTGTGGATGAATAATATTAGTGATTAATTTAGTGGTATTACCTCATTTATTTACTTGTAATTTAAGCATTTTGTATTCCATAGAGAATGTGATCTACCTTATTTACCTTAATGCCAAAAATAAATTAATTCTTCACCAGATTATCTTGACAGACTTTTTCAAATACTTCCATCCTTCTAATTCACTCTCACACTCTTGACTCTGGGTAGTGTTACTTAAAACCATGAGTACAGTTAAACCCTCACTAACTCACTTTAATATCTATTTTTTATCAATCTGTATTATTTTCTAAATAAACTACTATTGTAAGTAAAAGCCCTGGCTTACAGTTGGATTTGTTTGGTTAGAAGTGGTTGAGGTATGGTGAACTATCTTTGACTATCAACTTCTTTTTTCTGTAGTGCGATCATGTGTTCATACTTGTCAAATTTTGGTGTTAAATCAAAACAAACTGACATATATCTTCATTGAACTGACAAAAGTTGCATTGAAAAATAGACTGTATACTCTAGTTTTATTAAATTCCTTGGCTTTTAGAGAATATTTACTGTGAAATAGAAACTAGATTCCTAATTACAAATTAATAATGATTAATTTGCTATCAAATTATTGTCTCCAAATTATAAATGGTTGCTTTTAAAATTTAATTAACATGATGTCTTTAACGTAAAACATGCACACCACAACTAACTATATCACAACAAAAACAGTCTATAAGGGACAAAAGAAAATTGCAGTAGTTTATACAGTGTTACTTCTGATCTCAGTGATAATGATTTTACATACAGTAAAACACACTATAACCGGTATAGACGGGACCAGGTCATAACAGATAAACGAATTACTGGATAAACCGATTTTTGAGATGTACACAGTTAAAAAACACCTTCAGAAAGTCTCTGCAATACCACCTGCTATACATTAGCACGTTGTTGCATTCTCTTTGCGAAGGTGTTTTTTAGCGAATTTCCCTATAGGGAAGTAGCTATTACCGTAGGTGGCACGGTAAGACCTAGGCCCGGGACCGATTTACTTTTTCATTTTTATGTCCCCAGAGGTCAAAGACACCATTTGTTGAAATTTTTATATATGTATATATATATACATATAGATTTATATATATACTAGCTGTACCCGCGGGCTTTGCCCCGTTTAACTTCATATGTGAGCTCGTTCGCATGGCTCAATCACGTCCTGGTTGAAGTTCGTTCGCTACGCTCACTCACCTTTAGGTTGGAGCTCGTTCGCTGCGCTCACACGTCTTGTTGCAGTTCGTTCGCTACGCTCACTCACCTTTACGGTTGGAGCTCGTTCGCTGCGCTCACTCACCTTTTGGTTTCAAATTAGCTGTTGTCAAATATTAAAAAAATAATAGTGCTGCACTCTGTTGGTAATCCTTGTAACTTTAATGCTATTGAACATAATAGAACACAACCAACTTGTTTAATTGAAACAGCTGTTATGATTCATTAATTCCATTTAAATATGAGTACTCATTAGGTTACCATGGGAAACTCCAGAGCCACTGGGGCGGAGCCCGAGAGTCCGATCAGAATAAAAACCACTTAGTTTTCCTATTTAATGCCTAAAGAATCAGTGTACCAAATTTCAGCCTCTTAGGTAAGTGGGAAGTGGGAGAATTAGTGATGAGTGAGTGAGTGAGTCAGTCAGTCAGTCAGTCAGTCAGTCAGTCAGTGAGGGCTTTGCCTTTTATATATATAGATATATATACGTCCGTGAACGCGATAACTTGAGTAATTTTTGTCCGATTTTGATGAAATTTGGCTTAAAGGTGTAAGGCGGGATAAACTTAAATAAGTTCGCGAACCAGTATGATCGGACCATGGGAACGGGGTTCAGGGTGTCCACATTCTGGAAAATCAGGGATAGTCATGGAAAGTCATGGAAAAAAATTCTGGTCATTGAAAGTCATGGAAATAGGCAAAAGGTCATGGAAAGTCATGGAAATTCCCAATGACGGATGATTTTAGGGGACTATTCAATGCTCTAGTCGGCCGTAACTCCGACTACTGTAGCATTTTTCAGGATTTTTCACAAATGTTCGACGATTCAATTTATTACAGTTGTATTAGTTTATGAGTTTTGAGTTTGTATTATTTCATTGTTGTACCATTGTACTACATTGTTATTTGTTAATACATATTTCAGTAGTTTCTGCGAAATCTAGGCAGTTTTATTCGTGTGTGTATGTTATATTATAATTTGAGTAAAGTTCGTGAGTTATGGAAATCCATGGTAAATGGTCATGGATAGTCATGGAAAGTCATGGAAATAAATGACAAATATTCTGTGGACACCCTGTGGGGTAAAAATTGGTTTTTCTCATTTTTGACCCTCAAAACACAAAATTTCCCAATTTCTCTCTAGACCCTTTTAAAGAGCTTAAAAAAAAACAAGCAATTTAGTATATCAAAGTGTTTTTTTACAGTTACCTATCGGTAACGGAGAAAATTCAAAAAACTATAAATTTAAAATTCCCATGTTTTTCTTATGGAGAATATTGTAAAATGTTGTAGTTTGCTTGTTTATGCATATATTTTGACCAAACTTGGCTATTAATTTATTTTATACTAAGCTATTAATATTTTACTAAAAAATACACTTTATTAGTTTCCTTGTAGCAGCAAACCTAGGTACACGTTCAACCTAATGTTATTTAAATAGGTTTAATTAAAAATCAACTCAGACAAATGGAAATTCGCTTAGTCGGCAGGTGTGCTGCAGCGGGGGTATTTTTTTTTAATAATCTCGTCATGAAAAAGTCTCGAACGAACAAGATTTTATAATCTCTAAAATTTCTCGAACATTTTAAACTCGTAGTATCCATAGTAGACCATCCCTAATAGTCCAGTCAATCTGGGTGTTTTAGACAAAAATATACCATTAGGCTGGATTTTTCCCATTGGCTACAGTAGACCCTCTCTAATCCGGCACTGCACCACTCCGGCACTCCAGTAATCCGGGGTCTTTTGACGGGAGGTCTTCCACGATCGCGGCAAAATTCTGATTATCTCCCGCGGCCGTGTAGTCTAGTTAAAGATAGCTTAACTGCTTCTAGCTAAAAAAAGTCCAACTGTAGGCCTACAGGGCACAATTTGTGGTAAATCATGTCTGGACCAGCATTATCACACACATTATCACAGTATATTGTCACAATGTTCGGTGCTTGTGTATTCAGCATTTGGTGAGTCGGTGACTCAGTCGGTAGTGTCACTGACTAAAGTCAAAAGGTCAAGGCAGTGAAGTCGTGGGTTCAGATCCTGATCACTGCCGCTGCTTTTTACCAGTACAGTTCACCCGTGTACTGTACTGGCTCACCCCTTGCTTTGCTGGGTACGTTCCACACACAGGCTCATAGCCTATGTGGACGGGCAAATGCAAGGTTAAAAGAGGCTGCCAACCTTAAAAAAACAGCTAAGAGTCTAAAAATATGAATTATGTTTGTATAGGTAAAAGCTTAATTTTGCAAGTGTGCTACTTTACATACTGAGTGTTACTATATGTCTGCAGAGTAAAGGTGGCGGGGGTGACACGCAGTAGAGGTGGGGGTAAGAAGGCAGAGCAGCACTGCCAGATGCCTCCCACCACTCCTGACAAAGAGAAGCTACGAACCATCAGCTGGGGCAAAGTGGAGGAGCAAGGACGTTGGATGGTCAAGTTGTTTATGCCCAAGGTGTCGGAGAGAAATGGACGAATCTGCTGTTTCCGGTAAAGATCACTATCGTTTTTCTTAAAAATTATTCCTCAGCATTTGATTTTGGCTTTAAGATGATCACTTTTTAAAATTAAATGACCGAATTAAATTAATACTTTGTTAAATGAGTGGCAACTCAAGGCACATAAACTAACTTAATTTGTAACCAAATTATTTTTGAAATATTTTTTAACGTTCAGTATTATGTTTTACTCTTTAATTTGAATTTGACACACTTATTGTTCCTACGGCTACAAGGTGTAAATGGCTTTCCTGGAATAAAAATTTTGTTCAAATTCTTGTTTCTGAAAGAGTAAACGTTATGTTTGCAGAGTGTTTGTGACAAAGTTGGAGCTCCACCAGAGTGTAGCAGACCTACCTCCTCCTCAGGACTCTAATGTGCTCAGTTACCAAGAGGTCCACTACGGCAAACACGGAGGAACCTACCTGGCTGATATGTTCGAGAGGTAATTCTATCTTAGAGAAATCCTTGCTGACATTATTCTTTCATCGAACCAAAGGCTAGTAGAATTAAAGGATTTTTAAAGGAAACACTCAAAAAGCTATAGATCCTTCAGTCCTTTACCAAAAAGACCTAACTAACACTGACAAAAAAGTGGTGAAATATGACATAACATTTTAAAGAATAGTTGAAAATATGTTAGAGGTTAAATAGTAATCAACTACCATCATAAATATACTATGGTAAATATGTTACCTGTAATAATTGTTAACTTTTTAAAAGTACAAAACACAATGGATGGAAAAGTTGAACACCATATTTTGATAATATATGATAATATATGATTTTGATATTATGATAATTAGGGGTGTGCGAGTACTCGAATCTTCGAGCTTTTTGGTCGAGCTTTTCATTATTCGGCTCGGCTCGAGGCATTTTGAAAAAGCTCGAAGTTCGAGCCGAGCTTTTAATACTAAGTCAAAACTAAAAAAACACTTAATTTGGGTCGTAATTGAAAACAATGTTATCACAATTCTACGTTGTTCATGCATTTGAGGTTTGATAAGCACGAACACGAACCTCAGCTCAGTCAAGACGCAATGATTATCGATCGTAATTTTGAGGAGATACAGTAGTAAAGAGACAATCTACCACCTATCCTATCGCGTTGTCTTTCTAACACAGCTATTCGTATCGTAATACACAACGCAGTGCGAGTGCGTGATTGGCTCGTCGCTATGACGACACATGGTTGCCGTGGCAACCTACAGTGCGCACTGAGCACTGCGCCTTGTGTGGGAGGGGAGATTATACCAACAAACTATTTCAGGAATTCTATTTTGGGACCGATGGAAGATAAGGAAGAAACTAAAAGTGGTCACGTGTGCAAATGTAGTGGGCGACACAATAAGGCTGTAAACGAGTATCGTCATGCCTTGTTCCTTGTTTGTTTACTTTTTCAGATTCCTTATCAAACGCCCCTATCTGCTATCTCTCTTTCTCTCTCTCTCTCTCTCTCTAACAGTGTACTGATTAAACAGATTGTGGTTGACGACTTTTCTACTTATAAGATTCCCTGCGGTTATTTTAGTTCAATCAAACCCATAACCTTTCTAATGTTTATCAAAATAATTAATTAATCCGTTTTGTATTTTATTCCCTTTAAACCAACCCCTATTTACCATCTATATTTTATAGAATAAAATGTTTGTTTATAAAGTTTGACTGGTAACTCAATTTTGTACCTATTTTATTTTGTTTAAAAGTAGGGGTGTGCGGATATCTGAAAAATCGGGTAACCGGGCCCAAATTCGATATCCGACACTATCCGTTATATATCCGGCTTTTCGGATAGACAATATATTTTGACGTTTTGAACAAAAAACTAAATCTCCATAGCCACCATTAGTTTCCCAGGACAAAATTACAGCAATACGTTTCCAACGACCTAACAGCAAACGGCAAAGAAGCCTTGTATGATGCAATACTGATAACTAGTTTAGTCGTTATCGGCTGTTTTGCTTTACGATTAGATTCGTCTGGAACGAACAGACATAAAGCAGAAAAGAACTACCATGGTCAAATGAAAGTCAACTCGTGCTTGTCTCCCTCCTGATACTAGGGGCGCTGCGTAATAGTTTTTTTACAGTACTGTTTCAAATTCAAAGTAGAAAAATCTAGCCTACTACTGTGAAGTTACGTAAACAATAGATTTAATGTTTCCCAAAAAAAGTCAGAATAGAAACAATAGAAAGGCAACACAATAGAAGGGTGGGAGGGGTTGGGCAATGACCTTGAAAGGAGCGCGGGTATAGTGAGTCAAGTAGGACCGGAGGGGGAAGGGGTGGGTAAGACCTTGAAGCTATATATAGACTTGCACTACTTCCCTAAACCTAAAGGACTGGCCGGCGAGTGGTATTCCAATCACAGGACAAGATACGTCGTGTTTTAGGTATTCATTGCCCGGGTTGACTTTGGATTGTCTTACTGTGTAGAAACTTTGAATAATAAAAAATAAAGTTAGAACTAACCACGATTATTTAGCATTGATTGTGTACATATTAAATGATTAAACTATAGGGACCATGGATATATACAAACTTTTGTCGTGATTTTAATTTCAACATCAAAATACAATATTGCACAATCGTGATATTTTAGGTCATCGACCTTTATTATGCATCCGGTATTGCTGTTTCGGAAGAGAAGCACGTTGATAAATTATAAATTGATATTCCCGTAGTTAAAAAGAATTATTTTATAAATCTATAAAACAAAATCATAAAATCTTACATACAGATAACAATAACGGAAATTGTAAAAAAGGTATAAAGATAACACGTTATTCTTTCTCTTTGTTCTTCTATTTCTTGGGTTTCCCTTCATCACGCATTCAACAAGTTGCCATGGTTACTAATCACCCATGTCGTTATCAGCTTTTGTGACATAACGCACAGCAGGGGGGTAAAACTTGACGAAAATCGGTTAATTTTTACCTATTATTTAATTACCAATGAATGTACTACTTTATTGGTATTTGGTACTGTATTAATAATCGGTCAAAATGGCCGATTTTTGTCAAATTTTACACCAAATTTATTGAAATTTCAAGGTGAATATTAATAAAACAATTATTACCAAATATTTGTATTAATTTAAAAGATTGATTTGTGGTATTGGGTTCCCCACTGAGTGCAGCCGAGCGGCACCGGCTTATCAGACCCTCCCCTCCCCCGTGGTCTGGAGAAAGCTTGTAAACAAACTATTGCACAAGCGACTTGACATTTGGCTGCTTCAACTATAATTTTGTCAAATGAACTGTGATGTTTCAAAATCAAAAACAATAATTTGGGACCATACTGCTTAACAATAATGGACTGCAATTATTGATAAACATACAATCCATTTTTAACAAACTAAGATTATATGATTCAAATAGAATTATAAAAATTATCTTGGTATTATACTTGGGGTAATGAAGTTATGTATGCTAGTGTAATTCTCAGTTCATCAAGGTTCTACTGAATAATGTTTGGCAGTGAATAAGTGTAGAATGCAATTTATAAATTCAGGGATACACACCTTTTACACAGTTATAAAGTCGTTAATTAATAGAAATAGTTAATTCTGGAAAATTAAAAATAGTGATCGCATTCATAAACCTGTTGTCAAAACAGCAACACGGGTGTAAGGGTTTATTGTTTTAGATGCAAGGGTGTTTCAAGGACAAAGTACAGTGTTGGGCCTCCCGGCTTAGGGGGGGAGGGGGGCGGTGAGACTGTGTGAAGGGGAGGAAACTGGTTTTGGCTATTTATTGATTAGTTCCCTGACCCTTCTAGATAACAAAATTGAGTGACAGTATTAAATCATTGTGTACTTTATTTCATTTCTTGTTTACTTTGTGTGTTATTCTATTAATTTTAGTGTTTTGGTCTATTTCCTCTATGTCAATTATATCTTTTTTAATATATAAGTTTACTTTTTACTTGTCTCTCCACCTTTTTGGATCCAAACCAACCATGTTCTTTTTTTGATTAATACGATTCATAAAACAAAAATATTTTGTGCATGGAAAACAAAAAGAATAATCACGTGTTTTAAAATTTATTTTGTATTTATTTATACAAAATAGAATTAAATATTCATAGTAGTTACAATATACATTATGTAATCGAGTTGCTAGTTGTTTTGTCGTCATTCAATGTCGCGATGCTGTTCTGTTCAAGAATCAAGAAGAATCAAGAATATTTATTTGCCATTAAATAACAGAACGTTACTGTTATGAAAGACAATCTGATTGTCTCAGTCTGCACTGCATATCTCGTCAGGCCTTCAATCGATATCCTTTTATTTCTTGCATCTTAATTTAGTTCAGTTCAGTTCTTATCGTGATTATCTACTATTTGATGTCTTGACAATTCTCAAAGTTTTTAAACATATTAAAATAACATTGTGTTTATTTAAAAATTGACAGAACATTATTATTATTATGCACTTTTTTAAGAAAAAAAAGTTTAATAACTTAGATAAGGTGACGCTAGGAAAAGCTCGGCTCGAAAAAGCTCGAGCTCGAAAATTTTTTAAAAAGCTCGGCTCGGCTCGGCTCGAGGTTGAAAATCACTATTCGCACACCCCTAAGATAATATATGGATAAGTCATAACATTCCATGTCGTATCCACTGTAGACACCCCTTAACCGGCCTTTCAACTGGTAGTGGTAACCTTCCTTTTTTGTTGTGTATTGCTAAAATTTGTAACAGCAATCTTTAATTTTTGTTACAAAATAGACTGGTCAAATTGTTATGTAGCTCTTTTTTCGTGAAAGCTACCATATGGTTCTACTGTATATGGTTTTTTACTCCATACACGGTACTGTGCCAGTTGTGCTATCTGCTTCCAACTTTTGCCCTCTTGTAGTTTCTCTTTGTCTACTGATCCTCTCCAAGTTGTCCTTAGTTGTACGTAGTCCTTAGTTGTACGTATTCTGTTACCTTGAGGATTCTACTCCAGTGCTTGTTAGATGACAGTAGATTTTGGTCCTATTGAAGTAAGGTCATTCCACTGTGTTCTCTTGTTTGATAGTTGTATTTACCTGGCTTTGATTTGTAATCTGCAGTAGCTCATCAATTGTTATCTTAACTAAACTGAATATGAAGAAATGTTTTAAGATATTGGTTATACACTTACAGTGTGTGATAATTTTTGTTTATTACTGTGTTTGCATTCATATTTATAACTCTATGTATTTATTTTACAGCGATGCCCTGATCAATGACATATTCCTGGGTGACGGTCACACTGTGGCTTCCCCCTCCAACAGTTCCACTTGTAGACAATGTGTGGGGCTTAGACCTCGTCCTGCCACCACCACAGTCACTCCCCCAACCACCACTACTCTCCAGGTTCTTGCGGAAATACCCTCTCTCAAACAGCGTAGATCCCTCACTACCCCTACTCCTGCCCCCTCATTTGATGTCTACGCCCAACTATACGATGGCCAACTCGACACCAACAGCAACTACACTGGTTTTGTAGAAGTCATTGGTAAGAACTTTTTTAAAAATTTGTGATAGTAATTAAAATAAGTCATTGACCATTTGAGTTTTTAAAGGCTGTATATGAAGATTCTATTTTTAATATTCAGAATTCAACACCCGCATTTAAGAGAGTCTTAGTGTTATACACATGTACATTTGAAATAACTCGCCGGCCAAAGTTAAAGTTATTATTTATTATATTTATTATACAAAGTTATTATTTTTAGTGTTGCTTAGCGTTGAAAAGAATTGTAAATTATATAAGTTAAAACATTCCAATGTAATAGTCATGACACTTTGTAATATACTGTATACTCTAAAATTATATATAAATTCTGTTCTAACTGAAAACTAACTAAATATTGCCCATATTTAAATTTTATTTATTAAATCTTTGTTTTCCTAGTATTTGGAGGAGAGCAAGTGCTAATCCCAGCTTATACAAGCTATTTTGAAACCCTTCAGCCTGGACCACAAGTGTTGCATGCTGCAGAGTCCTCTCAGTTTCTCACCATCATACTAGAGGTATACTCATCACAGTGCTACAGTGCTGTAGGTCTGTACAATGGCCGAGTGGTCTAAGGTAGCATCGTAGATTATGGAGTATTAGCCTGTCTGTGCATCTCGTTAGGAATTTACCTGTCCGTGGTAGGGCTCGGTGGAAGAGGCCCACCTAAAATAAAGAGGAGACAGCTCACATGAAATTGAAAATGGATCAATTCTTTGTGAGTTGCACCTCAGCTCAAATCAGGCGTTTTGCTACTTGTTACTTATCCTTACTGCCTATGTGTTAACTGAAAATTTATTTAAAAATTATTTGTACAGGATAAGGCAGTTAAATGGCACAATTCCGACTCCAGCTGACAAGGGTGGGGAGTATGAGTGTACAGGGGAAATTACCTTAAGCGTCAAGACTAGTGGAAATTTCAGTAGCCATGAAGCGTTAAACTTGAGCTGTAAAGGCATATTACAAAAACGAGGATGTGTATTTTGTGCTCCGCGCACTTTTTGTTTTGAGTTAATTCTACCACCATGGGCTCCCCTGCCATCAAGGAAAATATCCTCTTTTGGGTGAATAACTTTGAAGTTACCGCTAGCACGACAAAACGCTACAAAACAATTGCAGACGTTTTGCAGATGCTAAAAAACATCACGGGTGGGTTTCATCTCAGAATTCAATAATGTGTGCAAAACCAAGGACGCCATTTTACTGACACTATATTTAAAATAACTATTTTAAGGTGAAACATTAATTTCCACTTGTGTACTCAAGATTTATGTTGAAACAATCATCTTTTTTTTCAAAATAAATTATTTGTGGTTTTTCAAAAGTGTGCAGTTTCTCTGCTTTACCCTGTTTATGTTCCTAAGAAAAGGAATAGTATAGTAAACATCAGCATAACTTAACCACTGAATAATCCATAGAAAATTGCAAATATCGCCCACGTTATTGCTTTAGTGAATTGTTGCATTTATTCTCACACATCACACATCATACATCACTGATGTCTGTCTATGCAGGTGATGATTGTGCTGATTCTCATTGTCCTGATCCTGCTAGTGTCACTGTGTTTGCTGCAGAGATACACCAAACAGGTTGCTGAGGCTCAAGGTGTAGAAATATCTCTCCGCAACTCTCTCAGGCAAGTCATTTTCTTTAGCTCATGCATACTCTGCCTGAGGCATCATGTGCCATGTTGACATAATCATTCAAATATTGAATTGCTAAATTTGTTTTTAGTTTGCCAACTGTAAAATGATTTATCTACAAAATATTTTGTGAGCACACTTGTATAGCTCTAAAGATTGGAATAAAAGGGTAGCACATCTAAAAGAGCCACCTGTGAAATTAAATTTTACTTTACTACATTTCATATTAAATAACAATTTGCTGTAGATGCATAATGTATGAATGCTGTTGGAGGCGGCTAAATCATTTAAAACAATTTTCTCCTTTAATACCTTATTTTTTAAATTAGAACCATTCAACCATATTTGAAATTATAGTTACAGTCCCAACAAACTAGATTTAGTTCATTAAAAAGATCTACAACAACTTTGAACTCAACGATTGCATGAAACAATTTAAAATTTTGCAGTGTTTGGGGCTTAGTTGTACAAAATCTCTAAGCATGATATAGAAGCACAGCAGTTTCTGACAAGTCCCCAACACCTCTTAATGAAGAGAGGGTATTTGGTAAAAAATGGGTTTTAGAGCCTCTCCCCAGCTCCCATCATATCTGTAAAATGCAACTAACCAGTAACTATATCGGTGAGGAGGAGAGGGGGGGGGGGACAATGAGGTTGTAATTCTAATACACTCTCTTCCTTGGTAAACCCCACATTGAACAACTCAAACCAAAGCTACAGATTTGCTATTTTGTTATAAATTATATCCATCTTATAAATGTTTACAGTCTTTTCACAGGTTCATGTTAAAAATGTAAACACATAAACAATGTCTCTGCATCATAGGATTGTTGTATATTGCTAATGAAATATTCTTGTTTGAAGACAAATTTTATTGTTTGTATTATTATTGTCAATGTTCATGTGTTTGTATTTGATTGCATTTTCTTCATGGTATAAAATTTTTTTCACTTTCATATACATACAGTGTTTTGTGTAATGCATGGATGCATGATGCAAATGTTTAGTCTGGAAATTTAAGTAGCTTTTATATTAAGCTTTTGTATTCAATTTTACTCTCATAGAAATGGTCTAAAACATTATAACATCTGAAATTTGTTGGTATTTTTCTATGGCATAACAAAAGTGTTTATTATAACAGGTTACGTACCTTGACGTCCACAAATCCTCAGTCGAACGTCCGTTGACTGGTTTCGACTACAAAGTAGTCATTTTCAAAACAGAACGTTAAAATATTCTATTCATTGAATGTCGTCAAAATTTCTTAAAGACATTTAACACACATACATAACACTGTGAACATTTAACATATTTGGCCGGCCGGCACACGTCACTGAACTGCAAGTTTTTACTCAAAAACTGATAAATAAAACTTTTAAAAACCAATTTTGTACAGACAATAACAAATATAAATCTAATAAATCAATATTCATAATTAGTATGACAACTAAATGAATTCATTAGCCTGATAAAATAATATAGTAGGGTATATTTACAGTTAGTGTTGCTTTCACACTGGCAGAAGTAACATACCGGTACTAAACTAAAAAAAACATTGTATTAGCCTTTTATAAAAAGAAAAACAATATTTTGGCTTGCATGAAATAAACATTTTTGTTTATGTTTGCAGAATATTCCTTCGATGTAAAAATAATCAAATTAGTCAGATATATTTTAAGAGAACTACATGTAATGATTAAAACTAAAAACATACACCATTATACTATTGAACTTGATATGGACCTATTCAATCTTGTCCAAAAGTTTTCATTCATCCGTTGAAATAGTTCTACTAATGTTTGGAGTACAAATAGGGGTGTGCGTTGCATCGAAACTGCATCAACATTTTGATTCGTTTAGATTTGTTGCATCAAATCGCGATTGGATTCAGCATGCATCTAAATCCCGATCGGAAAACCTGATGCATCAATTACGTCCCGATGCATATAAACCTAATTTATGCTTCTAAAATTAGTTTTAGATAGGGATGTGTCGATTATCGATTCCACCCATACTTGGAAATTGGTATCGGTATTAAGAATCGATTGACAAAAGTCGATTTCGATACCGACACCCGACAGGGATGAATATTTTATTATCATTTATTTATTTTATAGCTTTTAGTTTTGTAATCACAGCTAACAGCTTTAGTAGCCAACTTAGAACTGTTAGTTCAAAAAGCTATGGTGCCTTTGTTTAGCTTCAGCTGTTCTCTCTCTACATTTCAAGATGTCAGACAGAGAGAGAGAGAGACAGACGGTTAGTCAGACTCAGACAACTGGCGCGCAAATGTCCTGCCAACAGGAAATGAAAAAAAAATGTCTGTATCAATAAGTCAGACCTTTGGATGTATTATTATTATTTTTAGGTAAAAATAAATAACATACATATATACACATACATACACATAGGCTCCTCTTCTCCGTAGTCTTGAAGACCAGGGAATTGTCAATTCTTGAGGTAGTTTTGTGTGCGTGTGTGTGTGAGTGTGTGAGTTTATTTGTTTAGACGTTTGTGGTCGTCGAAGAAATCGTTTAGGGTGTAGTAGGGTCTTTCAATCAGGTATCCTATTAATTTTTTTTGTGTTGGCTTTTTGTTTAATGTGTTCAGAGAGAACATTAAAATGTTTTGATCCAGCAATTCGGGGATTTTACTAGTTTTAGTTAGCCTGTGTTGTTGAATATCGAAATTTAGATCTGTGTTTCTGAATTTATATTTATGGCAGTCTCCTCTGATTTTTGGGGGGTTTAGTTTGAGAATTTTGGTGGTTTCCAGGATGTATATGGATGTGATGGTTAGGATCTGGTTGGAAATAAATAATAAAGTAGGGTTTGAAGTCTGTTGATGGTTGAAGGCATTCTATCGTCCTTATAGCTTTTTCTTGGAGTAATATTAGCTTTTTTATTCGTGTATTTTAGGCAGATCCCCATGCGATGATGCCAAGCCTGATATGGCATTCAGAAAGGGCGAAGTAGGCAATTTTGTTAAGAGATGATGATAGTTTGTTTTTTAGTTGTTGTGACTGAGGCTATGGGTCCTGATTTGTTTGGGTTGGCAGATGGTGGAGGGTTGGTTCAGTTGGTTGTTGAGAAAATTACTTTGATTGTTTTGGATTTGTTAATTTGTAGGGATGGACGGGTCCTGAAATTTCAGGAAATTTTCGGGAAAAAAATATTCCTGATTTTTGGGACGGAATTACATTTGATTCGGGAACTTTTCGGGACGGGAATTGGTCCGATCGTCTGCGATTTTGCCGCTTCGCGAGTGACGATAACACCGCTATCACGAGAGATGTTCCGCGAACGCAGGAGGCGAAGTCATTTCGACGATCGTGCCGTGACCGCGGAGTCAAACCAAAGATCCCGCCTAGACCGCGGAGTCATACCGACGATCATGCCGTGATCGCTAGTCACACCGACGATCGCGCCGTGACCGCGGAGTCATACCGACGATCACGCCGTGACCGCGGAGTCATACCGACGATCACGCCGTGACCACGGAGTCATACCGACGATCACGCCGTGACCATGGAGTCATACCGACGATGATGCCATGACCGCGGAGTCATACCGACGGTCACGCCGTGACCGCGGAGTCATACCGACGATGACGCCACGACCGCGGAGTCATACCGACGATCATCCCGTGACCGCGGAGTCATACCGACGATGACGCCGTGACCGCGGAGTCATACCGACGATCATCCCGTGACCGCGGAGTCATACCGACGATGACGCCATGACCGCGGAGTCATACCGACGGTCACGCCGTGACCGCGGAGTCATACCGACCATGACGCCGTGACCGCGGAGTCATACCGACGATGACGCCGTGACCGCGGAGTAATACCGACGATCATCCCGTGACCGCGGAGTCATACCGACGATGACGCCATGACCGCGGAGTCATACCGACGGTCACGGTGAGTCACATGTTTCTATAGGCACTTGTAAATTGTTGTAACCAAACCATTTTTTGGTTTTTATAGATAGGCCACAAACTTCAAAAATTGATTTTGTTTGTCTTTTTTTAAGCACAGGAAAAAATCCCGTCCATCCCTATTAATTTGTATATTTAATGGTCTCTTCGGTAGTTGAGTTCTCATTTTGAGGTGAAGTTGGGGATAAAATGGTGGTGTTGTCAGCGTACATTATGATGGTTTTGGGTAGAAAGTCCGGGAAAGAGTTTATGTAAATAATAAAGAAAAGAGGTCCAGCCTTGGGGAATTCCTTGTATTGTTGTTGTGAGGGTGGATCTTGTTTTAATTTTGAAGGATTTTTGTTAGTATTCAATTTCAACTTGTTGATTTCGATGTGAGAAGTAGCTGATAATCCATTTAAGAGCCAGGTTATTGATGTTGAGTTGTCTTAGTTTGTTTATTAGGATGGTTCTGTCAAGGCTGTCGAACGCTTTCTGGAGGTCCAGCAAGATTCCAGATACTGAGTGTTTTTGTTCCCACTGGGAAGCGATGCATTCACGTAACTGGTTTAGTGCTGCATTGATATATAGTAGTACATTTTAGTGAATTTCCCATATAGGGAATATGCTATTACCGTAGTACTCATGGTAAGACCTGGACCCGGGACCGATTTACTTTTTTGTTTTGAGGTCCCTAAAGGCCAAAAACATAATCCGTTCAAATTCATATATATATGTTGTTCATATATATGTTGTCGTATATATATGTGTATATATATGTCCGTTAGGACGATAACTCGAGGAAAAATTATCCGATTTTGATGAAAATTGGGATAAACGTGTAAATATACATTTATTTAAACAAGTTCGCGAAGCAGCATCATTAAATATGTATGGGAATGTGGATTTATGGGGTAAAAATTGGTTTTCCCAATTATGACCCAAAAAACATTAAATTTAGCAATTTCTTTCCAAACCATATTGTAGAGCTTTAAAAAACAAATAATTTAGTTTATTGAAGCGTTATTATGTGCCTAATAGTTACGGAGAAAATTCCAAAAAATATAAATTTAAAACTCCCATGTTATTCTTATGGAAAATAAGTAAACTGTTGTAATTTGCTCGTTTATGATCATATTTTGATCAAATTTGGAAAATGCATTTATTTCTTACTAAACAATTAACATTTATCAAAGAAAAAAAAGAACAAAAACACTTTTACCCTCCCTGTTGCAGCAAACCTATGTACTTGTTAAACTAATTATATTTAAATAGGAAATAAATTTGATATTTTTAAGGAGACATTTAAGCGTAAATCCAATCAGGCAAATGAAAATTCGCTTAGTCTGCAGGTTTGCTGCAGTGGGGGTATTTTTACTTCCCTTTTTTAAGGTAAACGATCCATTACAGAAACACTTGTTGTAAATAATTTTGAAAGAAAATCATGCCGTGCTGCATCAAATCGAAAAAACAAATATTCTGCATCGCACACCCCTAAAATCAAGTAAGTAACACAGGATGTTAAGGATGTAACATAGAACACAAAGACCTAGATTTTACAGATGACAATCCACAACGCATGAGTAGCATGTAGCATGGGAAATGTTGTATGTTGATGTGGAAGCAGGGTAGAAGGGTGAAGGAGAGTGAGAAGGTAAGTGTTAGAGTGTGTAGATGTTGTGTTGTCCTGTGACTGGAGCCAACCATGACTTTGCAGGCACTTGTGCAGATCTCTACGAGGAAGTCATTTGCCAGTGTCGTCCAGTCCCCCAGACATGGCTCCCATCCCAGCCAGTCAGCTACCGGCAGCCTATCTGGAGCGACACAGAGACTCTGACTACGGATTCCAACATGAGTTTGAGGTAAGGCTCCATTTTTATTGTATCATCCGGATTATGTTGATTAACAAAATTGGTTTAAATTCTTGTATCTACGTAATCCAATCGTTATTTTTGTGATGCAACTAGTTTAAGATTTTGTAGAAGTCAAACTTCTGATGATTATATGTTCAATATTCCAATACCTGAAGATGACTTTTTAAAAGGTCTAAACTAGTTGTAGCACAATAACCGACAATTGTACCGCACAAAAGCAGTTATTTCAACAAATTTTGCTAACTGAAGCTGTATGTTATGCAATTTTTTTTCTTCTTAGCTTACTTACAAAGTTTTGAAAATGAATATTAATTTACATTTCAACCTTTTGCAATCGGAAAGACAGTCTTAATCAGTTACGTTACCAGTTATACTGAGTGTGGTCTTTTGCATAGTGCAGATCAGGTAAATTTCACATTAATTGCCTTTGCCACTTGGATGGCCACTGGTAGGCTACTATCACTGAAATGTCAGAAGGCACTGGTTAGAAAAGAATAAATTTTCACACAAATTGTTTTTGCTATTCATGTTTGAATGGTGAACGCTAAACAAATTTTAAGCTGGTGTTAGTTGCTAAATCTCTATGCAGAAAATGGAAGCCAATACCTGACCAATCTTGCACAAAGGATTGATAAATACAAGCAACCCGGCTAAACACAAATTTACTCTATATGCAGATAGGAAACGTTAGGTTAGGCTATGGGTTTTTAAGTCTAGTGTCAATAAAATATTAAAACAGTTGCCTTATTTACAGCAGTGTTTAAAATTTAAATGATCAAAAGGTGCTATTTTACTACTATATTTTTAACATTTTGAAAGAACTTTTGATATGTTTTTTTTCAATTTTTAAATAACAAGTTTCACTTATATCTTTGTCCTCTTATTTTTTTTTTTTTACAGTGTTCCATTAAAAGGTTGATGCTTTTGTTTTTCTGTTGATCCCTCTATATCTATAGTTTTCAATCTACAAACTCCAAAAATATGTTACAGGAATATGTCCTTAGAAACAGAATAGATGCAGAAATAGAAAACTCTTTTTTTTCTCCCTTTTTAGTAATATTTATTGACACACTTTGGTATAAAATATAACTACATCTCAGCTAAATCAACTGCCTACCAACAATTAATCAATTAGTTCATTATTGTTATTCCTTGTTTTTCTTCTGTCCTAGCTGCTTCCAGATGGGTTTCCTGACCGTACAACTCGGGCTTCTGAGGCCCGAGAAAATATCTACAAGAACCGGTATCCAGACATCAAAGCCTATGATCAGACTAGAGTGCGACTGGCACAGATCGATAGCATTGCCGGATCTGATTATGTCAATGCAAATTTTGTCATTGGTTACAAAGAACGAAAAAAGTTTATTTGTGCTCAAGGTAATGCTTGATTGTTTTATGCTATCTGATTTAGTATTTTAGGGTGTATTTTGGACATTGATTTGTTACACTTTTTGGTTTAAAATGAGTGACACTAGGATTATTTGACGTAGGCCCCCATCTATACTAACAGTAATCTCAATAAAATTCCTTAATTGTTATGTAATTTGAATAATTCCTAATGTAATATTAGTTCTTGACCCAGTCTGATTTAAGCATCAGGAAAGTGATTTTGAGTGTTTCCTATAAAGCCTTAAAACCAAACACAGTCAGTATGGTATGTCCCATGTTGTCCTTCAAATAAATTTTCAAAACAATAAAGAAACATTTTGTTTATTTCATAGTAGGCTTTTAAAATTTAACTAAAATAAAAACAGTGTAAATAAAGATTTAATCTAAATAATAGTTTGGGTCCGTCATAGAAATTAACCTAAAAGTAGTCATTTGGGCAATTTTGTAAGACTGGTCTTCTATCTAATTATTAATTTATTTATATTATAAACCTCTTTGAACCAAATAAATACCCCCACCACAGCAAACCTGCCGATTAAGCAAATTTCTTTTTGTCTGAATTGATTTTGAATTAAATCTATTTAAATAACATTAGGTTTAATGAGTTGACCTATGTGTAATGAGTTGAGTTCGCCTATGTGAGTACCTAGGTTTGCTGCTATAAGGAAACTAATAAAGTGTGGTTTTTAGTAAAATATTAGTAGATTAGTATAAAATAAATGATTTTGCTAAGTATGATCAAAATATATCCATAAACAAGCAAACTACAACATTTTAAAATATTCTCCTTAAGAATAACTTGGGAATTTTAAATTTACCAATCTTTGAATTTTCTCCGTTACCAATAATTGTGAATAAACATTTTGCTTTACTAAATGATTTGTTTTTTTAAGCTCTTTAAAAAGGTCTAGAGAGAATTTGGGGAATTTTGTGTTTTGAGGGTCATAAATGAGAAAAAACAATTACTACCCCATAAAACCCCTTGAACAATTACAAGGGAATACAGGGAATACAACCCTGTTCCCATGGTCCGATCATGCTGGTTCGCAAACTCATTCAATTTTATCCCACCTTACACATTTAAACCAAATTTCATCAAAATCGGACAAAGATTACTGGAGTTAGTCACGGACACATATATAACTCTGTAGTCTATATATATATAAATTAGAATTAACGGTGTTTTTAGCCTCTGGGGACATCAAAATGTAAAAGTAAATCGGTCCCGGGCATAGGTCTGACCGTACCACCTACGGTAATAGCTACTTATAGGGAAATTCGCTAAAAAACTAGAAGTTTGCTTTAACTGCTGGATTGCTTTGATGGGGTGTGTTTGTGTTGTATTCATCTTGTTCAACCATTAACTTTTTTTATATTTTTATTGAAGACTTCCGACACAAAAACCTGACTTTCATATAACTTACTGTTTGCAGTGCATCCTCCTCAAACCAAGAATAATTTAAGTTTCTCAAACATATAAATTAATTTAACTTATAACTCAAGAATTAAGAATGATTAAAGTCTAACATAAAAAGTTACTTATTCCAATAGTAATGCTTACAATAGGGATGGACGGGTCCCGAAATTTTGGGAAATTTTCGGGAAAAAACTATTCCCGATTTTCGGGACGGGATTGCATTTGATTCGGGAATTTTTCAGGACGGGATTTGATCCGATCATCGGTGATTTTGCCGCTTCGTGAATGACGAGTCATACCGACGACCGCGGAGTCATTTTGATGATCGTGCCGTGACCACGAGTCATACCGACGATCATGCCGTGACCACAGAGTCATAAAGACGATTGCGCCGTGACTGGGGAGTCATACCGACGATCATGCCGTGACCGCGAGTCATACCGACAATCATGCTGTGACCGCAGAGTCATTTTGACCGCGAGTCACCCTATACCTGTAAATTTTTACCCATTTTCTGGATTTTATAGATCAGTGCCACAAATGGCACAAATTTATTTTCTTTGTATGTTTTGGTAACTGCAATACCCAAGACTTTCTTTTTATGCACAGGAAAAAATCCCGTCCCGAACTAAAAACTCAATCCCGTCCATCCCTACCTTACAAAGTATTTTTTTACTCAGTAATGTGTAACAGTTCTTAAAAACAATGCAGTGAAACTAGTTTACATATAAATATTCTAATTTATTACGAATATATGTGTTTGACACAAAAATTGATGCTTTTTTCAGGCCCCATGGATAACACTGTTTGTGACTTTTGGAGAATGATCTGGGAACAACACTTAGAACTGATTCTGATGTTGACAAATTTAGAGGAATATAGTAAAACAAAATGTGCCAAGTATTGGGCTGACAAAACTGAGGGAGAAAAGACATATGGTGATATCAGTATTAGCCATGTGCAGGAGAAAAGATACTCAGGTAAATTTTTAAAAATACTACAAACAATGAGGTTAATGTTATTTAGGAAACTCTGTTACCTTAGACGTTTAGTCATTGGTGGATTACAATATCTAAATGGAGGCCAAGCTATAAAAAGGAACTATATTTCATTATTAACATCTTACAGAAAGTGATTATTACTTCTAAAATAAATACCAACTAGTTAGTCTGACACCGTGTCGATTTTGCTTTACATTTCAATTTTTTCCTTTCCTCTAAAGTCAAAAAAATGTTTAAATGGATTTCTTCCAGATTATATTATAAGAGAATTAAAAATGACAAGGACGTCTGGTGGAAGTAAAGAAAGAGAAAACAGAAGTATAGTGCAGTATCATTTCTTGGTGTGGAAAGACTTCCAAGCGCCTGAACACCCTTCAGGAATATTAAAGTTCATCAGACGAGTAAACGAAGCATATTCCTTAGAGAAGGGCCCTATCCTAGTCCATTGCAGGTAAGGATATAAGTAGTATTGCAAATTAATTGTAACAATTCATAACTTTTGCCATGTCACTTATTAGAAAAATTACTTATTATTTGGAAGATAAATAAGATCGTGCTTGCACTAATAGCCAGGGTTCCTCCAGATACACATTAATAGATTAAATTCTTTATTAAAAGCTATAGATTGCATTTAAAAAAATACCATCTATTTTCCATTTTCATTTTTGGATGTAAGAAGAGAATAGAATATAACTTTATTGTCACAATAAATGCACATTTCCATTGTTCCAGCACAGCTGGGGAAACAGGTGACATTGTCAATATTATTAGAAATAAATATATAACATTAAAAATTGGTCCAAACATAATATATAAATTATCTTTATGGATCATTGTCATTTAAATAATCATTTATGGAGTAATACACTTTAGATAAAAGATAGGACTTTAAGGCCCGATTTCACCAAACTTTTAAACCGCCGTTAAGCCTTGCTCTAACTGCAGTTAGCTCTTAACTGACGAAATCGGATTTCACCACTCGCCGTTAGCGCTAGTTTAGACTAAACCGTCGTTAGATAATTAACTGCCCAATTTTGACCGGTTAACTTCTTTAATCTTTCGTTAAGTAAATATCAGCTGGCTTTAGGTTTAAAGTTTATATGGAAAGGCGAAATGGTAGAAGAGAATACGGTACGAATTAGCTTTTGAAAGTAAGAGTAGCCTATGTTGTTCGCCGAACTAGGTGGATAAGAGAAAGGGTTAATGCTTTTAATAACAAAGATGAAATTGATTTTGTTATTAGATATGAACTATCAAAACGTTTAGCCTTTTTCTTTAGGAAATGAATACAAACCACTACTGTGTTTAGGCTATCCCACATAGTGCATTGCTTTAGGTTATCCCACAAGGTTTTTAGTTAAGGCGTATATCTGTGATCAGCGACCGCATTGATCTGATTGGCGATCAAGAGCCGTACTCTTTTATCCCGGCTAAAAAGAGTGTCCCGGCTCTTCTACCAACATTATCAAATTTATTATTTCATTGTTCGAAAAAATAGGCTCCCTTTTCCTTTTCCCGGCTTTGGGTAACCCTTACCCATCGTTCAAACAATTATTTTGCGTTTGGTTAGACGTAATTAAAGAAAAAACTAAACCTAAGTTGTCATTATTCTGCTAGTATTTTATAGAAAATAATTATTTTGGTGTTATCTTTATTGTGTCTCGTTCTTGTAATTCTTTTGACCCCAGTTTTTTCACTACTTCAAATGTACCAAACTGGTTAGTGAACAAACAGAACATTGAACATCCTAGTAAAAAGTTGGATTTTGAGTCTTATTCGACTGCAAAACTCAATCAATTTGTTCCTCGAATATGTTTGGTCAGCATTGCTTTGCCTTTATTTACTTATGTTAATTGTTTTGGTATTTATTCTTGCTTTCTGTTGTTATTTTGCTCAGAATCTATTGTATTCCTGTAAGCTTGCTGTCTTCAGTTTTGTTTTCACTACCTCATAAACACTGATTTATTTTCTAGAGGTTATGTTTACTTGCTCCCGTAACAGCCCGGTATTATGACAGTTCACTGCCACCGCCACCTGGATTTTACTCTAAACTCTCGTTTATAAAACCAGCGTTAGTTTTGACGCGTTTTTGTTGGTGAAACCAGATTTCCTTAACTGTGGTTTAAATCATCGGTTAGTTTTAACCGAAGTTTAACTAAACCATCGTTAGCGAGAATTTGGTGAAATCGGGCCTAAATCGTTTTTAAATTTTGAGATTTCTTGAATCTCTTTGATTCTGGCAAGTAGATTATTGTAAAGTTTTAAACTCATATAAAAAGGGGATTTTTCAAATAAACAGTGGCGGTGTCTTGGGTATTGAAAGTCATTTTTAAACCGATTTGGATAGTTATGTTCAAGTTGGTTTATTCTGCATGATTCCAAATTATTTTTAAAAAATACTAAAGTTTTGAATATATAAACACTTAGCCATTGTCAGTATAGCGGATGATTTAAATAAAGGTTTACAAGATGTTCTTTTTGAGCAAAAAGACATGATTCTCAAATACTTCTTTTGTATTTTAAAAATTGATACTGCTTATGAAGTTGAGCCCCATAGCTCAATACCATATTGCATTATGAAGTGTTGCATTTATACCAAAAGCTTTGTTTTGAAATCAATTATATTTCTTAAAACATAAATTTGAAAACGAGCTGTGTTTAGTTTCTTTACTGAAGTTTCAATGTAAAGTTTCCAGGTTAAATTTTAGTCTATGTTTATGCCCAAAAAAATTGTGGTTATTATAAGTGACAAAAAATCTCCATCATAGGGTAAATCAAACGAGACAAGTAAACTATCAAGGGGAGAAAACTAAATTACTAGAGAATGCCTTCTATTCAGTGGATGATTTTGTTGAAATTAATACTTAGTTTATTTGACCTAGTTTGGGTTATAATATTGACAAATTACCTGTCAATAATTTGATGTAAATGTAAATAGCATAAATAAAAAAAATAAAAAACTATTACGTAATCCCTCCTTCCTCTATTCTGTTATCAGTTTGGGCAAGTTTCAGTTTCTTTTTCATTTTAACTTGACTGTTGTGGATTCTAATGAACTATTAATTATCCACCTCATAATAATATATTAGAAAAAGACGCGCAATGTTATTTAATATAGGTTGTCTGCTATAGAGCTCTCATTTTAAAGTAGTTTTTTATCAACTTTAATAATGGCGTTTGTTCTCAAAATGTTGTATACTAAACAGTTTGTGAATGTGTTATTTATCCATGTAATGTTAACCGTGTGCAGTGCTGGAGTCGGGAGGACTGGAACTCTCGTGGCTCTAGACTCGCTACTCCAGCAGTTGGAAGCTGAAGGCCAAGTTGCCATATTCAACACAGTGTGTGACCTCAGGCATCAACGCAACTTTCTAGTCCAATCATTGGTAAGTACCTTGTTGCTAAACTTTCATCATTATGAAACCCATTACAGCACAGTTCCACAAACTCTTTGTAATGTGAACCTTGAGGGTGTGAGTTTTAGAAATGTTGTTTTATTTAACCCTTTGCGGTCGAATGGCAAATATAGGTTGCCACTCGCCATTTTCCTGACTGCTCAAAAGGCAACCGATACTCGCCGAAAAAAAAGAAAAAAAAATCCACCTCAAAGGGTTAAAAAAGGGGGGAAAATAAAGATAATATAATTATTTTTCATATTATTGTTTTGTTTCTCAAATGTAGATACCAAATTTACTACGCCAACACATTTAATTTTAACTTATTGAAGAAAATACAATACTTGTTTGTACAAACATCACAACTGTGTTTGACAGAAAGACCGACTGGCTAATGCTTCGGTCTTCATGAATGTATGAGGCCTCCAGGTATAAATATCTGCAAGTAGCGCTAAATGTAAATAGTAAAGGCACTATGTAATTGATTTACCAAGTTTTGTAGTTTTTAACCTGAATCTCTCGCAGTATCATGAACACTGGCTTAGCGTTCTGTGAATATATTGAAGATTGCATTTATAAAATCATTACGGGTCCATCAAAGTTACCAAGTGCCTAATTTGCAAGACTTACCTTTATATCTGACTCATATTTCTAAAATGTTTGATAGTTTTATTTAATCCTGGAATAATTTCACTGCAACTTTTCATGTTATATATTTCACATTTTTGGGAACTAACATTGTTACTTAGTAAAACATTAATTGATTTACTTTCACAATATGAAAATCGTTTTTATAGATATACTTTTTCATGTGAAGACTGCTTTTAAAAATGGCATTTTTACCTACCATTAATTCAATATCGAAAATGTATATTTATTTTAGTTTTTTCATTATTAATTACTTATTTGATTTTTGATTCCATCAAATCTTCTTTTTATACCTAAGAGTTTTCATATCTTTAAATTGTCTAAATGATCAGAAAAATCTATAACATGTTTTCTTACTTGAGAACACAAAATTTATTTACATCAGGTTCGGTGTCTTAGTGCAAGATAATATATTAATACAATTCTTAATGTTCAATTTAGTTGTTGGGTATAATGTTTTTCCAAATTTTTCATTTCCCATATTGTTTTACAGTGTTGCAAGTAAATTTAATACTTAAAATTGTATACTTTGGCTTTCCCAGCATCTGCTGTAAATCCATAAAACTTCTCTGTAGAAAGTGTTTTAAAATATTATTTTTAACTCATTACATGTATAATTCTAACTCAATAACACCAGATGTTATGTGCTCACCCTTTTATATTTTATTACGTGATTGAGATTTCAAAAAGGTGTTTACTTCACAGTGTTATTTTTTTTACAGAAACAATATATTTTTGTATATCGAGCTCTTCAAGAGGTAGCCCAGTTTGGAACTACAGAAATCAAAGCCTCTAAATTAAAATGTACTCTCGAAAGATTAAGACAAGTTGAAAACGGGAAAGAAAAATCAAAAATGGAAGAAGAGTTTGAGGTTGGTATTGATGTTATGTATATTTAGATATTGAAATATAGGGATTGTTTCTTACATTGTTGGTTTTCAATTAGGCTTAAGAAAGGGTTTTTTGTTTTGAATATTTATTTTCAAACCAAAGAAAAATATTCAAAATTAGCATAAAGAGCATCTAAATGAAGGAACTTGCATTCAAGTGTTTTTTCAATACTGTATTGCTTTAGAAAAATATTCATGGTGTTTTTTGTAAATATTTAACGTACTATATATATATGTTTAAAATTAAATCACTAAATATCCTGTTATGTTTTTAGCTTGGATTAAATAAATATATAGGATGGAGAGGACCCAGCTAACTCACCTGATGAAAGGTTTCAGACGAGTCAAAGTACACATAAAACACAACACATAATAATACTTGATATTTCGCCTCTTTCAGAGGCTTCTTCAGAAGTAGGCCTAGATGGTAGTTACAAGAACAACAGTTTAAAATAGGATGACACAGTTTGAATTCAAAATGTCTGACAGGTTGTCCAACTGACACTACACAAAGCACTAAATATAGGCACACTTATCGAGTATCGAAGTATCGAGTAGGCCTTTCAATCTTCTTCTGAATCTCCACAGTTCCTGTTCTATCTCACTCTGCCTTTCTCCACTTCTTCATCTCCTCGTCCATCCACCTTCTAGGCCTTCGTGTCAGGCTCATCCTCTTTATATAATACCATTCAGCCATTCCAGATATTCTCTCTTCTCACATATACAAGCCATCTTAGTCTTGATTTTTTCAACCCTCTTTAGCTGTCAATTACTGCTCTTCTGATCTCGCTATTCCTAACTCTATCCCACCTTACTCTTAATAGACCTATAAAATAATACATTAAGTATAGCATAATAAATACTTAACCTGTTTGTAGAAAATGAGTCAAGTGGTAGAAGAGAGAAAGTCTCACAGTGTAGGTGGTGGGGAGGAGAATTCAGTGAAAAACCGCAGTGAATTTGTCATTCCTTACGATAGAAACAGAGTCATCCTGACCCCAGTGCCAGCTCGGGAACACTCCACGTACATCAATGCTTCTTTTATTGAGGTAAACTTAATCATATTGATCTTCATTGAGATGGCCTCTTGACCACTTTAGTTAGCGAGAGGGTAATTTAATTCCATTTGAGTAAAATAAACAGTAAATAAATATCAATTCTGAATTTTTTTAAAGCAAAATTTGTTTTGTAAACTCGCTAGCTTAGTCAATTTTTGTTTATGTGGTTGGCGGCCTCTATTAACCTTGCATTTGCCCGTCCACATAGGCTTCAGGAATGTGTGTGGAACATATCCAGTAAAACAAGGGGTGAGTCAGTAAAGAGTGAACTATACTGATCAAATTTTAGTTTTAGTTTTAATTTTGTTTGCCGTCTGTTGTCAGCTGCTTGTTTTAATCTTTCCTTGGAAAATAAATAAATACCAGGGTGGCCACGCGCCGTGAATTCCGGGAAAACCGGGAAATATGCGTGAATTTTACGTGCCGGGAAAAAATTTGGAAAATTCGCCAGGAAAAATTACAAAATGCATGTTTATATCGCTTTTGTAATGAAACTTAATCCAAAGCCGATTTTGTTGACATTTGACAAGTAAATAACAAGAAAGGAAAATGTTTGAGTTTTATTTAATCCCTTAACCCCTTTCAATATTGACATACTAGGCCTAATAATATTCGGCAACCTAGACATCGCTTGCGTCACCCATTTCACTGACAGCGACAGCTGACACTGGGTTGGGTACTGGGTGATAAGTAGTGGTGTGCGAGTGCGATGACGATGCATTGAAATTTCAATTCGATGCATCAAATCCCGATTTGATCCAGCATTCATTGATTTGGTCACGATGCAGTTCTAAACAGGGATGTATCGATTATCGTCATCAATACCACCATCCATTGGTTACCACTTGGACATTGGTATCGGTACCAAGACTCGATTGTCAAAAGTCGATTCCGATGATATCGACACCCGACAGGGATAAATATTTTATTTTAACATTTATTTACTTTATAGCTACAGTATTAGTTTTTTAATCACGGTTAACAATTTGCAAAGCCAACTTAGAAACTATCTAGTTCAAAACAACGACGGTGCCGGTGACATTGTTTAGCTTCAGCTCATTGCACAACACAATCTACATTTCAAGATGTCAGACAATTCAAGAGACAACCGGCGCGCGAATGTCCTGCCAACACGAAATTAATTATACTAAACAATGTCTATATCAATAAGTCAGACATTTAGATGTATTATTTTTATTTTTAGTACAAAATAAATAACCTAAACACGTCGAAATGTTCAGTTTCATCCCTGCATTATACGCATCATTCGAAAAATTATATTCAACCATTAAACTTTAACATCGTCATTGTCGTATGATTAGTCTTACTTTATATTGCGCCAAAAAGTAGATTCATATTTTATCTGTACTATCTACCTGATTAAAGAGTTTAGTGAAGTTTTAAGTGCTACTATAACATAATGTATTTATTGAAAAATATCATAAGCCTTAGTCCATGTCGATTTTGTAATGTTATAATCAATGGTGAATGTTGACAATAAAAGTATGTAACAACAGTTCTCATTGGTCAGGAGGCGTCAATGCACTACCATGTCAGCCAATCGACTTTCGTGTTTCAATGGAGGAAATGACGATTGCTTAGACATCGTTTTATGTGCTTATTGTGGGTGGGAAGGGTATCGATAAATATCGTGATTCGAGATCCAATATGTAGGACGTGTTCGTTTATAAATAATGAGTATTAAAGTAAAAAAAAACTGGGTTACAGACAGGTTCAAAACATCGATTGTTCCGATCCATTGTTGACACCCGTACACGAAGGTTATAGTGACGTCGTGCATAAGGGCCAGGCAGGCCGGTTCACGGTGAATCCACCCTGCCGAACCTTACTCTTGGTATCATCAGGAACATAGTTAAACACTTTTGTTAGGTACTAAATAAAACTATGGAATGTATTTTAAAAGCACTCTTTTGGAGATTCTAGTCCCGAAACATAATCTTTATTGTAGGCTAAAAGTAAAACCTACCTATTGCCATACTTTCTCCACAGACGTCGACTTATTCTACAATGTCTTTAAGAAATACCAGGTTTCAGTCAAAATACTTTTGTAAAAATTGACAATGTGCAATTTTTGCAGAGTCATTCCTTGACCACGATCGTTTTTACTCACTAGAGAAAAGACTCTCCTTACAAAAAGTATTTGTAGGCCAAGATAAATGTAATTTTTTTAAAGTGTAACTGCAATTGCTTTTAAAAAGTAATACAAAAACTGTCAAATGACTTAGATTAATACGTATAAGTCTATTTATAAATTAGAGGAAAATTTATTACATCTCATCATAGTCAAATTCAAACATTTACATTATTTTAAAATAATTAACACTCAGAAACTTTTGTGTTATGGAAATCTGCAAGCAACTGAGGCCGAGGGTGAGGGAGGGCATGTGAACCAGGCTTTAGAGCAAACTTTCTCTTTTCCTCCCCCATTTCCCGTTAGACGGTGGGCGGGGCTTCACACTAATAAACACTCAGTTCATTCATTCACAGAAGAGAATAGTTTTTGTGGCTGTGACGTATGTCTCTTGTCTGCTCTTCATAGCTCACACGTAGACTTACCGCGCGCCCAGACTGCTTGCGCTTACTGTTACTATTATTCTACAATCATTGATACGTTAACGTATGACTTGGTTATTATAAATATTTATTCATTATCTATTTTATTTAGTAGACAGTTAATTAAGTTTTATATAGTTTCAAATGAAGATCGCATTATTGGGAATAAGGTCACAAATATGGTAAATATATTCTTGGGGGCCAGAAATCACGACTGGGAAAAACAGGATTTTCGGTCGGGAAAACTGGGAAATATGCGTGATTTTTTCCCCAGGAGTTCTGTGGCCACCCTGAAATACCTTCGTCATTGCCGTCTTCTATCGTGACGTCATGCTTGACGAGCATTACAGCCTGTTTTTTTAGTGTGGCCTTGCTAGGACCTCGAACCCAAGGATATTGCTCCCATGGATTGGTAGACCCTTGTGTTACCAAATGAGCCACCAACTCACCAAAGCCAAACAATTCGGAGGTGAAAAATGAATAAATAGCATTATTAACATTCTGTAAAAAAACTCGTTAAGGGGGGTTTTTAAACAGAAATTATATTTTTTTATATTATATTTTTATATTATTTTTTTTTTTTTTACTCAAAGTTAGTAAACAATTATTTATTTATTACTTGTTATTGTGTCTTACAGGGCTATGATAACTCGGAATCCTTCATCATCACCCAAGATCCAATCATGGAGGTGACTGTAGCCGATTTCTGGAGGATGGTTTCCGAGCAAGGAATAAGCACACTAGTCATGCTTTCTGATGTAAGTGATCAACCTGGTGCAACAATGATATGAAAACTTGTTTTATTATCATAACTACACACTTGATATATGAAACTGAATGGAATGGCAGCGAAATTTGTCATATAATTGCTCACACATGTATGTAAAATAAAAAGGGTTTACAGTTTGTTTTCAGTCTGTGTTGCATTTTGGCATTTTTGTGTGTCTTTCAAATTTGCCTACTGCAGAAAATACAACTAACTTTTATAGCTGTACATTGCACAAAGGAACAGCTATAGAAGATGTATCAGTGGTTGGAATGATCATTGAAAGGAGTTTCGATAAGTCATTGGTTTGTTTAAACTTACGTTAGGATAAGTCAAACGGATCTGTTCTTGTATAATTGGTTTGAAAAACTTTGTTTGTGCTTACGATAGGTGTAATCTCAACTAACAAATTATTTATCCAATATGCTAAGAATCCCAAAGTTTTAGTAAACTTATGAGATTTGGGGTTTGAATGACACTGGATTTTGAGCTTGAGGCGGAATTTTTACACTAAACAAAATTCATATTGCTTGAACCAAGGGATGAGCATCAATAGGTCAACCATCGATGTTCACCATCGATCAACCATTGATGTACCAAAAACATCGATGTTTTCGGGGCTAAAGCATCGATGGCTTTTCAGTTGTTCGTCTGCTCTCTGTACTGCAATAGCCAATTAACCTAAAAGTAATACAATTCAGTCAGGGAAAACATTGATATTTCAATACTTGGCCAATCACATCAGTAATCTACCATCAATGTAAAAAACATTGAACATCGATAGAAAAACATTGATGTTTCGAAAACATCGACTATCGATGCTCATCCCTAGTTTAAACTTGTTCGAAAAATTCTTATTATACATTTTTTGTAACAGAGTAATATTGAAACATACCTCAGATATGTTATAATTTTGAAACCCAGCCCTCCTATACCTTAAACAGTTCAAACAGTTTTAAATATGATATTAAGTTTGTTGTTTAATCTTTATGAAACACCATCTCATTTAACCATAAAAACACAAGCTTATAAACAACACACATATACATATCTATATGCATGTCTAAAGATAGATTTTTTGTGATTAACCGCTATCGTCGACCGCCTCAATTTTGTTACTTTAACAACATGTTGTGACCATGCTAACTTCATTGACATCTTCTACAATCGCGACGATATTAAAGCTCTCATTCCAAAAAAGTGTTAAAACAACAGGGAATTAACTGTATATATTTTTTTTTTTTAAGTTGACGATGTCTATTGTAATACTTGTATTACTTAATGACAAATAAATATCTTGAATCTTGAACAATTGAACTCTTTCCGACAATACTGTTATCAAATCTTTTTGAACAGTTCCCAAATTTTTGGATCTAAAATCTCAAACATCAATCACTCCATGAACCTTGTTATAGAAGTTTTACAAACTTGAGGTAACTTGACTGAGGACTGGACCTACCTCAGATAGTTTAAACCTCTGTTTGTGGTGAAGTAGAATAATTCTTATGTTGCAAATGATTTCACACTTTTGAACATATATTTGGTGTTTGAAATTATCTTACATTGTATTGCTTTTGTGATGTTGTAGTTTCTGAGTTGTGTGAGAGCATGGTAAAAAATTATTTACTGATTAATTATTTGGTAACTACTTATAAGATTATACAAAACTATTATTATTAATTAAGGTTATATCAAAGATGAAGTTATTCTAAAGGTAAATATTATCTCAGATAATCTTGTAAATATTATTTATTTTGTTATTGTTTGTTCTAAACAATTACTGATACTTTTAATTGGGAAATTATCCGCATTGATTTCATTTTTATATGAATTACAATTCAGTTTTAATCTTATCATCCTGTGTTCTTTACTAGCTCAGTGCTAAACAGTTACATTTTCCTGTCATTGATTAACAATATTCACGAAAATATCTAATTATTATAAAAGAGAAAGAATTTTTTATCTAAGTAAGGTGGCTTTGTTAGTAAAAAAACCATGGTAATCTTTCTGGAGCCCCCAAAACATCATAGTGTCTATAAGTTCAAAATCAATCTATTTTGTAATTTTTTTGAAAAACCAAGTAAATAAATTTGGACATTGAAGTAAATTTGATCAATCACCCAAATGGTGTGGATAATAATGACAATGATTTTTTTGGGGTTTGCCCTAAAAACTTATTGCCACAGATAAAAGCTGGGGCGGCTCCAGGAAATTTTTTTAGATAGGCCTGGCAAGGACCAAGAAAGAGTTTGAGGTTTGAGGGGCTTCCCTGCAAAAAGGGGAATTTTAAAATTGAAACGCAAAATAATGAGTTTTAACGCTCTCCCTTTATTTACATATAATTAAATATCTTTATTTATTTTAGAGGTGGGCCGATACCGATACTCGATACCAAAATACTCTCGATACCAGCAGTATAAAGGTATCGTCGATACTCGATACTTGCCTGCTTTGGATTCGATACCGATACTGACACTGAACCACTGAATGCTACGAATTACTTTCGTGTTTCAATGGAGCAAATGACGATTGCTTGGACATTGTTTTATGTGCTTATTGTGGGTGAGAAGGGTATCGATTATTTATCGTGATTCGAGATCCGATATGTAGTACGTGTTCGTTTATGCATAATGAGTATTAAAGTATAACAAAAAATAGGTTAGTTACAGACAGGTTCAAAACATCGATTGTTCCGATCCATTTTTGACACCCCTACACGGAAGTTATAGTGACGTCGTGCATAAGGGCCAGGCAGGCCGGTTCACAGTGAATCCACTCTGCCGAACCTATACTCTTGGTATCACCGGGAACATAGTAAAACACTTTTGTTACTAAATAAAACTATTGCATGTTTTATAAAAGCACTCTTTTGGAGATTCTAGTCCCAAAACATAATCTTTATTGTAGGCTAAAAGTAAAACCTATCTATTGCCATTACTTTTCTCCACAGACGTTTTGACTTATTCTACAATCTCTTTAAAAAATACCAGGTTTCAGTCAAAATTCTTTTGTAAAAATTGACAATGTGCTGTTTTAGCACAGTCATTCCTTGACCACGATCGTTTTTACTCACTAGAGAAAAGACTCTCCTTACAAAAAGTATCTATAGGTGTATGTAGTTTTTTTTTTAAGTATAACTGCAATTGCTTTTAAAAATAAATACAAAAACTGTCAAATGACTTAGATTAATATTTGTAAGCCTATTTATAAATTAGAGGAAACTTTATTAGATCTCACCATAGTCAAATTCAAACATTTACAGTGTTTTAAAATAATTAACACTCAGAAACATTTGTGTAATGGAAATCTACAAGCGACTGAGGCCAAGGGGGAGACCAAGAGGGGGACTGAGGGAGGGCATGTGAACCAGGCTTTAGAGCAAACTTTCTCTTTTTCTACCCCATGTCCCGTTAGACGGTGGGCGGGGCTTCACACTAATAAACACTCAATTCATTCATTCACAGTAGAGAATAGTTTTTGTGGCAGTGACATATGTCTCTTGTCTGCTCTTCATAGCTCACACGTAGATTTCTTTCGAGAAATTATAAAAATAAGTGAAAAACTGTTGACATTTTCAAGGAAGAAAAGTTAAGAAATAAAAGTGTTAAAAATAAAAAGGTTGTTTGATTAGTTATTCTGTATTTCAAAAATATCCTCATTTATGAATGTGTTTTCAGCTACACTTGGTGACTTTTTCATAGTTGAACAAATTTTGAAGATATATAACTGTTTTTCATACAACTAATGAGAAACTGTCATTATATAAGAAGTTTGTTTTTACTCTCTTAGGGAAAAAACTTACAGAGTATTTGTAGGCCAAGATGTACGTATTTTTTTAATTTATAGCTTAATGAGTTAACTAAAACAATTGATGCAATAAAAAAAAAAACCAACAAATGACAGATAAATACTTATATAAGCCTATTTATAAATTAGAGGAAACTTTATTAGATCTCATGCTTTAGTCAAATTCAAACATTTACAGTAGGCCTATTTTAAAATAAACCCTTAGTTCCATATTTTTGTAATTGTTTTTTTGCATTTAATAATAAACCTTTAACACCAAAATATAAGTTTGATACACATACATATTGTGTTTTAGCGAATTTCCCATATAGGGAATATCAGCGAATTTCCCATATAGGGAATAAGCTATTACCATAGTAAGAATAAGAATAAGAATAAGAATCGTTTATTGCCGTTAAACATGTACATGCAATGGGCAAAGTCACATTTTTACAATATCTTAGCCTACTTAAAAATAAACAGATGTATAGGCCTAGACCTTAACACAGAATGGTAACATTGAATCGTTGAAAGTCATTTTCAAGAACTCGTTAACACTATACATGGGGTTTTCCACTAACCAATCTGACAAAACTCTCTCAAATTTACTATTACTAACTTCTTTTGCGCTATGAGGCAGTTTGTTAAACAAATTAATACTATGAACATTGAAAGACTTGAGGGTTTTACTTAACCTACAATGTTGCCTATAAATATGATGACTAGATCTTGTGAAATGGTTGTGGATTTGGTTTGACAAAGTGAGGTTATCTAAATTCTTCTTAACATAACATAAACACACAAAAATATATACATTTATCACAGTTAAAATCTTGGCTTGTTTGAACAAGGGCCTACAGTGCTCATCAGGGTCTACATTAAATAAAATCCTCACAGCCTTTTTCTGGATCACTAAAACTTCACTTATTTTTGAACTATTGCCCCAGTACAAAATAGCATAGAGCAAAACACTATGAAAAAAAGCAAAATAACAAGATCTTAAGTAATGACTAGGTAGGCTAAATCTAAGGCGACGCAACATGTGAACAACTTTGGACAGCTTTGAACAAACCTTAGTAACATGAGTATCCCAAACTAACTTAGGATCAAGATGGACACCTAAAAGTTTAACGCTACTGTCATCATCTGCCTCTTTCGGTGCTCTTACGTCTAGAGAGAAAGTTATATTCTGTGTCTTATTCAAGTTAAGGAGAAATTTGTTAGCTGCATACCATTCAGCTGCCTCTTTAAGAACTACTTCATTCATGGTGCAACAAAGGTCATTAACATTTTTCTCGCTTCTAAAAAAGGTCGCATCATCAGCAAACATGACAGTACTAGCAGAGACATTATCAGGCAAGTCGTTAACCATAACCAAAAATAGGAATGGGCCCAGGACCGAGCCCTGCGGTATACCGTACTCAACCTGGGTAGCGACTGACATTGAACCCTTAACACTAACTTTTTGTCGCCTATTTGTTAGGTAGGATTCAAAAATTTTGATTTGAGGACCGACTACCCCATAATACTCAAGTTTTTTCAATAGTATGTCCCGGTCAACGCAGTCGAAGGCCTTGCTCAGGTCACATAACGAAGCTCGAGTGGCTAAGCCTCGCTCAAAACCCTCAATTACTGAGGAAGCAAGGACCCCAACCGCGTCGGCCGTTGACATACTAGGCCTAAAGCCAAACTGATCAGAAGAAATTAAACCATTGGATTCAAAGTAGTCACTAACCTGAGTTTTCATTACCACTTCCACAACCTTGGCAATGACGGGAACCACAGATATCGGCCTGTAACTGGCTGCCTCCTTTACATCCCCAGATTTATAGATAGGTATGAGTTTGGATAACTTCAATTCGTCTGGAAAGATTCCTTCGCTCAAACAAGAATTAACAAGCAAAGTTAAGGGCAAAATTACAACATCTGCAACATATTTCAAGAGATCGTTGGACATATCATATATATCCTTGGTTTTGGATGACTTCAAGCTGGTTAACACTTTCAACACTGCACTAGGCTCAACATTTTGCCACACAAAGCTCTGCTTTACACTTAGCACTTTATTCCTCAGAAGATCTTCAGCCGTTGTGGTTACTGGAGGGATGGCATTACGTATCTGGGGGATGACCTCCATGAGAAACCTGCTGTAGACCTCTGCAGTAGGTTGACCTCTTTCCCTCGGAGCAGCATGAAGTTCATCTCTCACCACTTGCCATGCAGCCTTGGTCTTGTTGGCAGCAGACTCTATGAAGTTCTCGTTAGAAGCCCTTTTGGCATTTTGAATGGCTTGCTTGTACAAGTTTCTTGCTGCTACGTAAGCCCTTCGATCGGTTGCACTCATGGTATTATTTGCTATTATGTACAGGGACATAACGTAGTTCTTCTGTGCTTCAAGCTGGGGGGTATACCAGATGCCTGATTTACCCTTAGGAGTAGATAAGTGATTTGACGACCTTCTGGGGAAACACCAGCTCATAATACCAATTAATACATTAAAAATTGTAGTACAAATTGAATTGGTATTTTTGTTATAGAGTAGGCTCTCCCAGTTAATAAGGGCTAACTGTTCTTTGAAAAGTTCCATTTTGTTATAGGTTATAGGTCTCACAATAACATTAGGGCGAGTTGCTTTTTTCTTGTCAACTTCACTGGGAAAGAGCATATCAGTAAGAATGACATGATGATCTGACAAAGGAAGTTTAACAACATTCGCCGAAATCATACACTGTTTCACATTCGTTACAACATTATCTAGGCAAGCAGGTCCTCGAGTAGGTTCCCAGACCGTGCATCGACAACCGACTAACTGAAGCGCATTATGAAGAAGTGAACAATTACTATCGTTCTTAAGCACATCTACATTGAAGTCACCACACATAACAACTTTGGCTTCAAACTTAGTGAAATAACTCAGTGTAGCTTCAAGTTGTTGCAGGAAAATTGACATGTCACCAGCAGGAGATCTGTATAGGGATAATACTATAATCTTAAAGTTGATTAGCTTCACAGCACATATTTCAAAGTGAAGTTCAATACAGAAGGAGGATGTATCCAAAACTTCGAAGTCAGTAGCATTGGAGATATAAATTGCCACACCACCGTGGATAATGCTTGAGCGACAAAAGATGCTCCCCAGGCTATAACCTTCAAGGTTATAAATATCGTAGTTGCTGCTATTAAGCCAATGTTCACTAAAGCACAATACTGAAAAATGTTGCACCTTAAACAGCATGTCCAATTCGTCAATTTTGTTGATTAAACTTTGAATATTACTATAAAATATTGATATTTTGTTTAAATTAGCCTGCTGACCCTCTAGACTAGGGCTCGACTGTACTGCTAAAGCTGAAGCTAGGCCTACCCCTTCGGACTGGGAAACCCTAAAAAAACCGACTGGTCCTTGTTTTCAGTACTATTAACATTATGAAAACTTTCACTATGTTCAGCTTTACCAGCTGGAGTCTTGTATCTCTTGTTCACGAATTTTGAAACAAAAACATTGCTTGGCCAAAAATTTGGAGTAAAGATATCGTTCATTAGTTTGTAGGGCACTCCCACTTTGTACGACGAGTACTTATCCGGATATCTAGAGTTAAGTTTTTCTACGATGAACTCCTCTTCTTGGTAATGCCCTTTAAGGTAGTCCGTTAAGTCACTTGGTCCAGATGAAGGACTCAGCCTAGAAACAAAAAGAGCTACACTTCTCTCCACAGATTTAAGGTTATGAGTCTTATCAGAAGTTTGCAGGCTCCCTGTAATAAACTTATTACTTCCACGCACAGATCTATTGTGTTGAATGTTGCTATGCTTGTCGTCAACAGACTTTTGACCCAATCTTGATTTATTTGTTGGTTTAATCTCTGATTCATTGGGCTTAAGCTTAGACCCACCAGACTGAAGCCTAGGCCTATTTATGTTGCTACTCTCCTGAACAGCCGTTTTTTGGATGGGTTTCTTCATTGTGATTTCTGAGTAACTTGGGACACAATTAATAGAGTCCTTAATACCCACGTTATCGTTTACAACATCAGTGATAACCGATTGAGTCGATTTTTTAACGTCTTGAGGTTGGGATGGCTGATTTAGGTTATGTTGTGAAAGTTTAGATTGAAGTTCATCATAGTTCTTTAAAACTAAGTCCAATTTACTTGTAATTGTCAAATTAGTAGTCACTAAACCATTCACTACATTAAAGAGTTTTCTTAGCAGAGTCTTGTCCATGTCGGCAGTTGAATCTTCGTTACAAGTTTCCCTCGTGTCAAGGCGGCACTTTTCACAGTACCAGAAAACACTACTTGAGAGTTTATTAATCACATCAAACTCTTTAACCAGTAAGTTGGCGCATTTAAAATGAAATTTTAATCCACAAATGCCACCGCATCGCAGTGATCTGTCATTACTTTTAAATAATATTCGGCAGCTGCCACAATCCAAGACTTCACTCACCGCCATCTTGCGGTGAGAGTACTCATGGTAAGACCTGGACGCGGGACCGATTTTCTTTTCGTTTTGAGGTCCCTAGAGGCCAAAAACACCATCCGTTCAAATTCATATATATATATATATATATATATATATATATGTCTGTTAGCACGATAACTCGAGCAAAAATGGTCCGATTTGATGAAATTTGGTACAAACGTGTAAACCTACGTTAATTCGAACGAGTTCGCGATCCAGCATGATCGGACCATGGGAACGGGGGGTTTTATGGGGTAAAAATAGGTTTTTCCCATTTTTGACCCAAAAAACATAAAATTTAGCAATTTCTTTCCAAACCATTTTGTAGAGCTTAAAAAAAAAATAATTTAGTATATTGAAGCGTTATTATGCGCCTAATGGTTACGGAGAAAATTCAAAAAAATTGTTAATTTAAAATTCCCATGTTATTCTTATGGAGAATAAGTAAACTGTTGTAGTTTGCTTGTTTATGAACATATTTTGATCAAATTTGGAAAATGTTTTTATCTCTTACTAACTATTAACATTTTACAAAAAAAAAAAAAAAAAAAAACAGTTTTACCCTCCCTGATGCAGCAAACCTAAGTACTTGTTAAACTAATTCTATTTAAATCGGGAATAAATGTTATATTTTTAAGTAGACATTTCAGTGTAAATCAAATCAGTCAAATGGAAATTCGTTTAGTCTGCAGGTTTGCTGCGGCGGGGGTATTTTTTTGCTATAACAGTTTATAATATTATTAGTGGAAGAAACTGTGCAAAAAAGATAGGTATCGGAAGTATCGGTATCGAGAGTACTTTGGTGGTATCGGTATCAGTATTGGTATCGACAATTTTTGGTATCGGCCCACCTCTAATTTATTTATAATTTTGAAATATCTACCGAAATTTTGGGTAGGCCCAGGACCTACCTGGCCTGCCCTCTAGAGCCGCCCCTGGATAAAAGTTCTATCAAATTTGATTAAGTTACAGATTAGCATTTCAAACTTTTCACTTCATCCGTGCATTTTCTGGTAGGATCACTCAAATCTTTAAAGTAAAATCTGTTTGAACTCCTCAATTTTAAAACTGTGTTCAGTTAATAAAGTTGGCCTGTAACTATCACTAACATTAGTCTTATGACGTGTCTTGTGTAAAAATATTCTGTAACCCTACGTTTAGAGATAAGCCAAATATAGTTGACATAGTACAGTTCACACTCTCTAACTCAGCAAATTTGTGATTTGTTTAGAGTTGGAGAATTAAATGCTTACTTGAAAATCTGGTATTGCAAGGATATTATAAATAGGTACTAAGCTATTCTATTATATTTCGGACTACGCTCAACCTCGGCAGACTGTTTTAAACTTTGCCAAATGTGTCTGTAATCTGGGGAACATGCCTGAAAGGCTTTTTAAGTGCAAAATAAATCTTCTTAGACAAAACCAGATAATGCAATATTCCAAATTAACAGAGTTGCTTTGGAGGTTTGCTGCAAAAGTGCATGGTACTGTTAACAAATTAAGTAATGAAATCTTATTCTAATTTAATTAGACTCGATTTATGAAATGTCCTGTTAAATTACTGAACTGTTGATTATAAACCTAACCACACTTTGTTGTTGATGTTCAGCTGGGAGACGGGCCTCGTAAATGCCCTCGCTATTGGCCTGACGACGAGATTGCCCACGACCACATCAGAGTCAAGTACATCCAGAGTGAGAGTTGCCCCTACTACACCCGACGAGAACTCTGTGTTACCAACATCAAGGTGAGTACTGAAGTAGATACCACATCGGTCCCCAGAGTGCCTCGCATAGTGTGTTCTACCATTGTTCTAAATGTCTGAAAAATTGTGTCATGAAATATTTGTTAAAAAAACATATGAAATAATCACTAAAAACATGTTTGTTGTAAAAATTCATTAAAGGTTCAATTATTTAATTTAAAATATGGGTTTATGAAAAGGCTTGAAGATTTTAATCATTATATTCATAACAGTAATGCTTTAGTAGAGATCTATCAATAATGAATGAAAGATTGAATGGAAATGTGCTTTTATTTAAAAAATGAGTGAGTACAATGACAGTCTTAGCACTATGTACAAAAGTGATCATTAAGACCTTGTGTTGTAGCTGGCGTAGGTGGTCATCAGCACTTAAATAAATATCAAACAGTAATAATTTAATTAAAGTAAACTGTACTTATAAAAAAAATTAAGAAACTAGAGATGTGCGAGTACGGCCTTGAAACTCAAGCTTATCTTTGAACTCGGCAGTTTCGAGTCAGGCGAGTTTGGTTTAAAATTGTAAAAAATCAATATTTGTAAAAATATAACTTGTGTTTACATAAAATACTTTATAATTTGTTACAAATATTTATACTGTGTAGAAATAAGAAAGAGGTAGTTGTCCTAACCTATTTTTATAGCTGTCACAACAGAATAGGTCAACTCACAGCAGTCGCCGGTGACTGACTGGCATTACTGGCAATGGCATAATCTGGACTTGACACAGAATGAAATGATCAGAAGTGATTTTGTTTTAAAGTACTGTTTCACAATAGAAAATTCCACTAATGAACTGTTAAGTAAGCAATAAATCCATGTAAAAAAAAAAAGAATAGAAACACTAGCAAAACAAACAGAAGGGAGGGAGGGGATGGGCAATGACCTTGAAAGGAGCGGCATGACAAGAGTGAGTGGTGTAGTGGGTTGGGGGGGGAAGGGGAGGGTGAGACCTTGGAGCTATATTTAGACTAGACTTTCACCACGTCCCAAATGGCTGGATAGGGGCAGGGGGATTACAATAGCAGGTTTTTTTCTTGCCTGGTTTGACTTTTGCCTCTTTGTGAAGGAGATTTGAATCATCAAAAATATATAATTTGAATTGACCACAATTGTTTAGCATTGATAATACAATCTGCAAGGGACCAGGAGGAATATTGTTCGAATTAGAGTTAATGCCATGATTTGCATTTTTACATCAAAATACAACATTGCACAATCATGATGTTTTGGGTCATTGACCTTAATAACGCATCTGTTATAAGTTGATATTATAAATTGATGTTCCCGTGGTTGAAAATAATTATTCTGTAAACTTGTAAAACATTAGGTATTAACTTATAAATATGTATAAAATCATTCATAAAGACAATAGTAGCACTCCAAAAAAAGGATTTAAAGATAACAACATAAAAACATTATTATACTTTCACTTCATTCTTCCATTTTTTCTTGGGGTTCTCTTCATCCATGCATTCAAGTTGCCATGGTTACTATAATCACCCCTTTAGAGACTTCTACGCATTACTCATAATCAGCTGAGCTGTTATCATCAGTTGTTGATAACAACAGTGTTTTCTTGTTGAAGCTATTAAAGAGTTTTTAACATAGACTAAACAAAGTATTTTTATCTATGGTAATAAACAACAAATTCTTTCTGTTACTAAAGCTTACAAATATCTCAAAATAATTAAGTGCTAGCACTTGGCCTTCTATAAATTTGATTGCAATCTTTAGCTTACAATAAGTAGGCTTATCAGTTTGGCTTGGCCTAAATCTAGGTTACATAGTTAGTTTTTCTTCATGACAACTTACATTAATGTGGTTAATGTGCATGGAATACAATTGATTATAATGAGTTAGGCCTAAAGTCTAGGTTTCATTTGATTTCTAGTACAGTACTATTATTGAATGAGCCTATTACATTATTCAATACTTCAATCTACAATTGTTTTGTTTTACAGTAAGGTAGGCTACTTGTAGGCCTATTTAAGTACTTTATTTTTTAACATACATTTTGAGTATTTTGACAGAATGTTTGTTTACAATTAACTAGGGATGGACGAGATTGGATTTTTAGTTCGAGACGAGATTTTTTTTTTCTCATAAAATTTCGAGACGAGATTGAGACGGGATTTCCCTTCTCATACACAACGGGAAATGCACGTTCAAAATTTTTACCTGATTTTGTAACATTGTTAGATGACTGTTTAAATACAAAAATAATGATAATAGGCAAGAATATTTACAACCTTTTATTAAAAAACATCAGCATAACATTTTTTTATTAATCATGCCTAACTTATTAAAAATGCCTACTTATTAAAAATGATATCAGTTAGGATAGAGTTCAACTTATCCTAAAATAAAATAAATCATAAAATAAAAGCAATATTAATTTTTATAAAATAGTTACTTGTTTTGACTTTTTATAGTAATAAAACATTCCTCACATTGCTTACACTTAACAAAACTTCTCAAATGTTATTAAAGTAATATTATTAAAATAATTAAAGTAATATTTACATTTAAAGAATTAATTAAACAAGAACGCCTTCGCAAAGGAAAAGCAACTACAACACGCCCCTGTATTGCGGGTATTGCATTGACTTTCTGCAGGCGTTTTTAATTTTTTTTTTTTTTTTTTTATTCTCGCCTCGATAAAAATCTCGGCCAAAAAGAAATCTCGTCTCGTGTAACGAGATTTAAAATTTCCCGAAAATTTCCCGAAATTTCGAGACTTGACCATCCTACAATTAACCCTCCGAGTGTCCATAGTTTAGGCCTTAATGTCCACCTATTTTTGGCCCCTTTGCAAGGTTTTATTAAAACGGATCTGAGAAGCTTAAAACAATGTTAATTCTAATGTTCTATATACCATTTAGTTTGGAAAATCATGGGCTTCAATATTATATATAAAACATAAGGAACATTTTTAAAAAAAAAAAATTTTTAGGTAAAAAAAAATATAATTTCGAAAATTTTCAAAAAAAAATAAGTTTGCGCTCAATGAAATTGTATAAATTATAGGCCTATAAATATTTGAAAATAGCCACTTTGTTCTAAATTTAATGAGGATTACAAATATATAATCATATAGCGAGGTAAGTTATCAAATAAATAAGTTATGAGCGAAAAACGGATTTCAGTACATAGCGTTTAGCTAAGAATGCATAGCCTAACCATAGCTAGGAATCTGGCTGATAATTTACATCAATATCACTACCTACTTCTTCAGGATCATCAACCAGCACTTCAAAACCACTTAAATCTTCTTATAATGCACCACGTATATCACTACTTTTGATTTTTAACACTAAAACAATGATAAACGTAATAAAACACATCAGTCATCGGTCCGGGGGAACCTAGCTGTTTACAAATACACGCACGTCAGCTGTCTGCTACAATATTTTCGGAACTAAAATGAATAGCGCTTAGAGACAGACCTCTGGAGAAAGCTTAGAATATTACGGAAAGAACGATACCTAACTCGATCCAGTTCAATCCGATTCAGTCAGTCATAGAGCCTTCGCCGTAAACGATGTTTGTGCGTCTTAAACTCGACGCGTGACCCTACACAAAGTGTGTTGTGCGTCTTAAACTCGACGCGTGACCCTCGGAGGGTTAACATACAAGATTAAAAAATGTAATTTTCTTTAATTTAAAAATTTATTTTTCCTTTACCCACTGTCAAACCATTGGAAATTTTGTAGGCCTACTGTTACAAAAACCACACTAACTAAGAATAATGGTAATAAAACTTACAAAACTAAAGGTGAAAAGGTTGGAAATAAAATTTCAAGTTTTAGAATAAATCTCTATATTAAACTTTATATTGTAATTGCAACTTTAACACGTTGACTGCTGAAAACAACGTACAGGCGCTCCCCAGTGGCGGGCGAAGCCCCGCCACGCAACCGAATCAGCGAACGCAATTGGCATTCAAATATTTCAGTCTGACGAATCACAAAAGAGCAGTGGTAACTGTGCTGCGTTACCCCGAGAGTGGATGTAGTTCACTGAAACACCCAAAGGTACCAGCACTGCCCGGATCCGTATCCAGTGTCTTTGTAATGTGGGTTGAAGAGAAAAAATCCCCGAAACCGGAACAAAAGCATTGCCAGACAGGATTTTACGGGAAATTTTAGTACCAACCTACACCAAAGTAAAGCTCGCATTCTAAGCTGGCAGTGTGGCAACGATTATAACGTCTCCGTCTGAGGCTAAGCTCACACTGACGCAATATATTTCTGTTGGTCTGGTGCCGACTTTTGTCGGCGCGCGCCACATCGAAGTGCTAGCGACGCCGACTGGCGTTAGCAGTCAACGTGTTAAAATAACTGATAGATGCAAGTATTGAGTAATTTTAGCCAAGTATTATGCAATATTACTTATCAATAGGGATTAACACGTTCGCTACTGCAATAGTACAAAGTTTTCCATTCACACGGACCAGCGACGCACATATGCGACGGCCGGTTTCTACCCATAGACTAGTCACATTAAAATAGACTGCCGACGCATATTTGCGTCGGGGTTCTAATGTTATTAAAATGCGTATATCTTTGTAGTGGTCTATTTGAACGCACTGAATTCCCTGCAATGGTCTACAGTGATGTCTGACGCACAACTGCGTCGCTTGGTCTGTGGATATGATGATTGGTAACGTCATATAATAGTTGGAAAAACTGGTCTTTACTTTTCTGCATCACTGTATGTATGTATGCAGTATGTATGCTGCATTATCCTATGTAGCTTTTATATTTGTTCAGTTATAAACTGTTCTTGAATAATCTGTTTATTTTTTTACTTACTTTCACCTTAAAACGTAAAAAATGAACTGAATAATTTTAGGTTTAACGAGTACCTAGGTTTGCTGCTACAAGGAAACTAATAAAGTGTGTTTTTGAGTAAAATATTGATAGCTTAGTACAAAATAAATAAACTTGCCAAGTTTTATCAAAATATATCCATAAACAAGCAAACTACAACATTTGACAATATTCTCCATAAGAATAACATGGGAATTTTAAATTTACAATTTTTTTAATTTTCTCCGTTACTAATAATCAAACAAAAATACTTTTATATACTAAATTATTTGTTTTTTTAAGCTCTTTAAAAAGGTCTAAAGAGAAATCGGGAAATTTTGTGTTTTGAGGGTCAAAAGTGAGAAAAACCAATTTTGACCCCATAAAACCCCCCGTAAAGCCGCGTTCCCATGGTCCGATCGTGCTGGTTCGCGAACTCATTCAAGTTTATCCCGCTTTACACCTTTAAACCAAATTTCATCAAAATCAGACAAAAATTACTCAAGTTATCGCGTTCACGGACGTATATATATATATATATAAGTCTATATATATATATATATATACATATATAAAAATTTGAACGAATGGTGTTTTTGGCCTCTGGGGACATCAAAATGAAAAAGTAAATCGGTCCCGGGTCTAGGTCTTACCGTGCCACCTACGGTAATAGCTAACTTCCCTATAGGGAAATTCGCTAAAATACAAACAAGAATAATTTATTTATAAACACGATTGTAGCGTATTACAATGTAAATGATCACTGTTTTACAGGTTTTCACCCGTGGTCTGTGTGTACCGTTAACCAAGTGACAGCCGGTCTATGTGTAAGATTCAAATGTACACCTCGGTCTGTGGCAATGACCGCGGCGTTGCATATATGCGACGCTCAGTAGCGAACGTGTTAATGTAGTTAATTTTTGGATGAATAAATATATGTTCACTTACCTATTTTTAACAGAAGTAGAAGTTCATTTATGAGCTCATTGTTTTTGTTTTAGAATTATTTTCTACGCATTATATTGATATGTTACTGCACAAATATTAATTATTTATTTATTTATACTTTAATTGTACTTCAGCTTGTAACAAGGTTGTTTTACAAGTTACATGCTCTAGGCCTAAGGAGTTACTTAAACTTACACATCCTTCGATCTTTTTGGTTTAAACTCGACTCGAACTCGAGAATCGAATCTTTTGCCAATTACTCGACTCGAACTCGACTCGACCTGAAAAACCTGTGCTCGCACATCTCTATAAAAAACCGAAGCAAATACATTTATCGTAAAATGGAGATATTTTATCAAAAAGAATATAACAACAATTAAACACTTTCTTCAACAATTAAGACTTTACTAAACAATTGAAAATAAATAATATTATTATTTGTTGTTTCTGTTAATTTAATACCAACATTTATTGATAAATGAAAATTATATTCTCGATACTAACATTTTTTTAACTTAACTTTAGGTCTTTACACAAAGTATTTTGGAACAATGGGGGTTTTTGATTTTAAAGGAAAAAATTAAAGCAGCGCTCAATGAAAAATTCTAAATAGCCAATTCATAATTCAATCCCTTTTTAACATACTACAATTACATTATTGTATCAAAGGTAAATGCAGATCTTATAAACAAATATAAAAAAAGAAAATTGAAGTATAGGTAGAGGTGTACCAGTCTGAGATTTTCGAGCTCGAGGTGTTACTTTGATCATCCATCTCTTGCTGTCGTGGAGACAACTTTATCGAATTCCGAGATTGCTGCAAAATCCTGAATATTGCTTGGCAGTAACACAACATCATCATTGTATTGTTACTGCCATTGTACATTGTGGCCCACAATGGAGGCCAGGCCACAATAGTAATACTGAACTTCTTCCGCCGTCACAGGAACATTATCGTATTTTGCGATCGCCTCAAAATTATGATTATATTTCGTATCCGTCTAGACATCATCGTCCTCCACCGCAGTCTTGGAAAAATTATTGTCGTCATCTGGAAAGCCCAAATTTTCAAACGTTCAATCTTTGCACAGTATTGGTACTGGTATTCGTTTTGACATTGACTTTTGACTAGCAATTCATGATACCGATACCAATGTCCAAAAGGTAGTGGTATCGAGAATTGACACACACATTTTTTAGTATTAAATGGTATTTTATTTTTTGTGTAAAATACTTATCATTTCTTGATTTTTACATTATCATTCTTCGAAAATGTTTAACTAGTTTATTTGTTGTAGAATTTATTTCTCACCAACCTCAGACTAATGAGTTTGTTTTACAATTGATTTCTCATAAACGCGTGACTGGTTATTTTGTCTTAAAAAATTATTCTCTACAAATGTGTGACATAACAAGGCACTTAACAACACTATCCTTACAAACATTGTCTAATTGATTAGTCATACAATTTATTCCTGGCAAACACTTACTGATTTGTTGTAATATCTGTTTCTCCCCAAGTTATTGATTGTTATCAATGTGTTACAAGTGTATGAATGGTTGGTTTGTTGTACAGACTGATGAGAAACAACTTGTGACCCAATACCAGTACAACGGTTGGCCTACAGTGGAAGGTGAAGTACCTGAGGTCACCAGGGGGCTGATAGAACTAGTTGACCAGACACAGGTAATTAAAGTTAACTCCTTGAAAGTAAAAGAACTTTAAAATCAAACAAAATAAGACAAACCATAAAGTAAATTATCATAATGTTTTTGTGTTGGGTTTTATTGCTAGCATGGGAAAAAACGTCAGCAAAGTATTTTTGAGGTCAATTTATAATTTATAAAAATTAATTATGTATATTTAATAATAATTGTATTTATGAGGTAGGTAATATTTTGCTATCGGGCAAGTGTAGAAGGTTACCAGCCCTAGCCAACAAACTAAACATCACATCAATTTCGATAAACATATTTTATGGATGTTAACATTGTAGCTCATCTGTATCAAGTTATCTAATTTTGAGCTCTAAGGTCAATTACCTTTGGCCTTAATGGCACCCTCTCATATTTAGAATTATTTACTGGATAAATACATTAAAATCTAGTTACACTGATAATATTAAATAAAGACAAATTGACAATCTCATTCAAACTATGTGGTTGCATTAAGAAACATTTTTTAGCCTTGTAAGAAGTTTTTTCATTTCTTTGTATATAAAAAAATTGTGATTTTGTATTGATGTGTTCAACATGATCCCTTCCAGCTGTCACTCCTCTGTATACATGGTCTATCACCACCTAGTAGTGAATGTGTTAACATGATCCCTCCCAGCTGACAAACCCCTCTGTATGCATGGTCTATCACCACCTAGTAGTGAATGTGTTAACATGATCCCTCCCAGCTGACAAACCCCTCTGTATGCATGGTCTATCACCACCTAGTAGTGAATGTGTTAACATGATCCCTCCCTGCTGACAAACTCCTCTGTACACATGGTCTATCACCACCTAGTAGTGAATGTGTTAACATGATCCCTCCCAGCTGACAAACCCCTCTGTATGCATGGTCTATCACCACCTAGTAGTGAATGTGTTAACATGATCCCTCCCAGCTGACAAACCCCTCTGTATGCATGGTCTATCACCACCTAGTAGTGAATGTGTTAACATGATCCCTCCCTGCTGACAAACTCCTCTGTACACATGGTCTATCACCACCTAGTAGTGAATGTGTTAACATGATCCCTCCCAGCTGACAAACCCCTCTGTATGCATGGTCTATCACCACCTAGTAGTGAATGTGTTAACATGATCCCTTCCAGCTGTCACTCCTCTGTATACATGATCTATCACCACCTAGTAGTGAATGTGTTGATATGTTCCATCCCAGCTGACAAACCCCTCTGTATGCATGGTCTATCACCACCTAGTAGTGAATGTGTTGATATGTTCCATCCCAGCTGACAAACCCCTCTGTATGCATGGTCTATCACCACCTAGTAGTGAATGTGTTGATATGTTCCATCCCAGCTGACAAACCCCTCTGTATGCATGGTATATCACCACCTAGTAGTGAATGTGTTGATATGTTCCATCCCAGCTGACAAACCCCTCTGTGTGCATGATCTATCACCACCTAGTAGTGAATGTGTTAACATGTTCCATCCCAGCTGACAAACCCCTCTGTATGCATGGTCTATCACCACCTAGTAGTGAATATGATAACATGATCCCTCCCAGCTGACAAACCCCTCTGTGTGCATGGTCTATCACCACCTAGTAGTGAATGTGTTAACATGATCCCTCCCAGCTGACAAACCCCTCTGTATGCATGGTCTATCACCACCTAGTAGTGAATGTGTTAACATGTTCCATCCCAGCTGACAAACCCCTCTGTATGCATGGTCCATCACCACCTAGTAGTGAATGTGTTATATGTCCATCCCAGCTGACAAACCCCTCTGTGTGCATGATCTATCACCACCTAGTAGTGAATGTGTTAACATGTTCCATCCCAGCTGACAAACCCCTCTGTATGCATGGTCTATCACCACCTAGTAGTGAATATGTTAACATGATCCCTCCCAGCTGACAAACCCCTCTGTGTGCATGGTCTATCACCACCTAGTAGTGAATGTGTTAACATGATCCATCCCAGCTGACAAACCCCTCTGTGTGCATGATCTATCACCACCTAGTAGTGAATGTGTTAACATGTTCCATCCCAGCTGACAAACCCCTCTGTATGCATGGTCTATCACCACCTAGTAGTGAATGTGTTAACATGTTCCATCCCAGCTGACAAACCCCTCTGTATGCATGGTCTATCACCACCTAGTAGTGAATGTGTTAACATGATCCCTCCCAGCTGACAAACCCCTCTGTGTGCATGGTCTATCACCACCTAGTAGTGAATGTGTTAACATGATCCCTCCCAGCTGACAAACCCCTCTGTATGCATGGTCTATCACCACCTAGTAGCGAATGTGTTAACATGTTCCATCCCAGCTGACAAACCCCTCTGTATGCATGGTCCATCACCACCTAATAGTGAATGTGTTAACATGACCCCTCCCAGCTGACAAACCCCTCTGTATGCATGGTCTATCACCACCTAGTAGCGAATGTGTTAACATGATCCCTCCCAGCTGACAAACCCCTCTGTATGCATGGTCTATCACCACCTAGTAGTGAATGTGTTAACATGTTCCATCCCAGCTGACAAACCCCTCTGTATGCATGGTCTATCACCACCTAGTAGTGAATGTGTTGATATGTTCCATCCCAGCTGACAAACCCCTCTGTGTGCATGATCTATCACCACCTAGTAGTGAATGTGTTAACATGTTCCATCCCAGCTGACAAACCCCTCTGTATGCATGGTCTATCACCACCTAGTAGTGAATGTGTTAACATGATCCCTCCCTGCTGACAAACCCCTCTGTATGCATGGTCTATCACCACCTAGTAGTGAATGTGTTAACATGATCCCTCCCAGCTGACAAACCCCTCTGTATGCATGGTCTATCACCACCTAGTAGTGAATGTGTTGATATGTTCCATCCCAGCTGACAAACCCCTCTGTGTGCATGATCTATCACCACCTAGTAGTGAATGTGTTAACATGTTCCATCCCAGCTGACAAACCCCTCTGTATGCATGGTCTATCACCACCTAGTAGTGAATGTGTTAACATGATCCCTCCCTGCTGACAAACCCCTCTGTATGCATGGTCTATCACCACCTAGTAGTGAATGTGTTAACATGATCCCTCCCAGCTGACAAACCCCTCTGTATGCATGGTCTATCACCACCTAGTATTGAATGTGTTAACATGATCCCTCCCAGCTGACAAACCCCTCTGTATGCATGGTCTATCACCACCTAGTAGTGAATGTGTTAACATGATCCCTCCCAGCTGACAAACCCCTCTGTATGCATGGTCTATCACCACCTAGTACAGTAGAACCCCTCATATCCGGCCACCACGGGACCAAGCCCCTGGCCGGATAGCGATTTGGCCGGATAAACCAACCTACTACAAAAATGTAAATGATTCATACCTATAATAATATTTAATCAAAACATGCTGTCAAAAGTATCATTTAAGTCTATTCTAGGATTATTTTTTGAAGAATTAACATGTTTGTTCAAATAAAAATAAATATTTGTAGGCTAAAGTTGTTAAAAAACCTGAAATTAAGATTTCAGGTAACAAAAACTATTAAACGATGGAGGTAAAAGTTACATTAAATCAGCCTTGAAGATTTTTAGGACCTTAATAGTAAATACAATTCTACTCAACTTTCTTATCCTTTTTGTGAAGTAAATACAAAGATTAATTTCCCAACCCCCAACTTTTTAGAGGTTAGGCCTAGTTCAACTGAGTTTAGTGACACAGTAAAATGTATTGAAACAAACAGATAAATAGTTCAGATAAATAGTTTAGCTCAAACAAGTCGCAAAGACTAGTGCTTGCATCTAAACGTCTGTAAGCTTTGAGAAAAACATTTTGATATTGGCTTCCTGGAAGTGGCCGGATAAACAGAGGACCGGAAAAACCAAGGCCGGATATCAGGGGTTCTACTGTAGTGAATGTGTTAACATGATCCCTCCCAGCTGACAAACCCCTCTGTATGCATGGTCTATCACCACCTAGTAGTGAATGTGTTAACATGATCCCTCCCAGCTGACAAACCCCTCTGTATGCATGGTCTATCACCACCTAGTAGTGAATGTGTTAACATGATCCCTCCCAGCTGACAAACCCCTCTGTATGCATGGTCTATCACCACCTAGTAGTGAATGTGTCTCCCCTTTAGCCATCACAATCAGTGTTTCCACACGACCAAAATAATAATCCCACTCACTGGGTCCAGAAATCCAGTTTAATCCCGCTTTTGAATCATGAAAAATCCTGATTTATCCCACAAGATTTTTTTTTTCAATTCTGGGTATTATACTAGACGTATAGTGTCTAATAAATGTAAGTTGTTTTGCTACATTAATTTGTTCAATAGGGTTAGCTGTTCGCTAAAAGTAAAAAACATGAAAACAGATGTCATAGCCAAAAATCTTGTTCATCCCGCATCCTATTTTCATCCTGCTCATGCTCTAAAAATCCCGTTTTCGGGATAATAATCCTGCATATGGAAACACTGGTCACAATCTTCTGTATGTATGGTACCTGGTACCTTTAGTGAACTATTTTACTTGTTGACAGGCGTCCGCCACTGCCACTGCCACAGCCATCCTGGTCCATTGTCATTGTGGGTCCGACAGAAGCTCCATGTTTGTAGCACTCAGCATTCTTGTGCAGCAACTGCGAACTGAGCGCCGCGTCGATATCTGCACTACTGTGCGCAAACTACGCGCTCAAAGACAAGGAATGATCCAAACATTTGTAAGTTTCTTTACAACTGTTGTACAGTGAACCTTGTAACATGGACTAGTAATAAAGTCCAGGTTTAGCAATACAGGTCCTATAGGTGTCAAATTATTTAAAGTCAGTTGTATAGGTTAAAATATCACTGGAAATAGTATTTAAGAGGCGGCAGGAGTCAAGTTTAAAATCGTCTATCCGCGACTCCTGCAATTGTATGTTCCGCAACCCGCACGGCTAGCGTCTGATCTTAAGCAGTATTGATCGAAACTTCTATGGATATAAACTGTGTAACTGTATAAGCTGTGCTGAAAAACGGGCAGTGCCTACCTTTTGAAATGGTCTACACTGTCTTTTTTTTACACAAACATACTTATACTCAACCTGCAATGCTACACTTTTTTTTTATGTAAACATTAAAAATTAATATATGGTATTTTACTTGAAAAGCTGTTGATTATTACTATTATTATTACTATATTATTTTGGTGAATCAAAACTGATTTAAATTTAAACATTTGTGTTCATGCTAATATGCAATTTACTTCATTGCATCAAATTAAATGCTGATCAATGTTATTTTAAATTACCAACACTGTATATATAGGCCTTACAGAAAAAGTATAAAACTGTTTTTTCCTTCTTCTGAAAAGTTTGATATTTTGTAGTTACAAGGTTTGTAAATTAAGGTATCGACTATTATAGTGGAGAAAACATTAAAACGTTTACTTTGAAATAGCAATTTTAAACATTTACAGTAAAACAATTACAGCATTTTCCAATGCATACAACATTTTTACCAACTTTCATAGTTTTACAAGTCACGTTTACTCTTAGTTTTTTCTGCCTTCTTTTCTTTTGATTTTGTCTGAGCCTCCACTATATATGAAGGATTCCTTATCGGCATAGACCGGGAATGCCGAGGGTCGATGATTTCGGGTAGTATGCATGTAGAAATTTTTTCTTTTTAGCTTTGGCAACATTTCTTCCTGCCAAAACTGTTCATTTCGCTCTATTATTTCAGTTTTGATTCCCTGTGGTGTCCGTAGGCAAAATACACACATTCTTCTCTTTGTTACTTGAAGTTAGCCTTGAACTTTATAATAAAAGTGTTGTTTTTTTTATATCTCCAATTTCTCTATCCTTAGAGACTGCCCAAAAGGTACATTTCCGCTTTCTGATAGCCTCCTCAGGTGTCATATCTTTAGCAGAAGATGGACATTTAATTTTAACAGTTCCATCTTCGTTCAGAAGGCCATCGGGACTGGCACCAAGATAGGGGTTGTCACGGTCGATGAAAAGGCTGCATTTACTTATCTTTTGACCTAACAAGTTTTCAAGGTCATGTCGAGTCGAGCCACTTCTTCATTTTTTCTACCATAGGCCATGGCCTCACAATCAAAAACTGTGTACAGGAGTTGTTTAACGATTTTTTCACAGCCCGTTGTTGCTCTCATATTGGAAACATTGCCCGAAGTTCGAAGCTGTCAAAAGATTTCAGCGAATCACTAGCCACTAACTTGAATTGCTTTGTTCCACCGTTTCTCTTTAAATTCTTTTGAATTCTGCTTCTGACTTGTGTAAGGTTGTTAAAAAATCACTTTTTTCTTTTTCCATAGTATTTTCTTCAATATCAGGCCGTTGTGCTTCAATACCGTAGTCTTTTCCATCAGCATTTTTTTCCCGATCAAATAGTGTTTTCCTGCACCTTTTTCGTTGTCTTTGGCTGTCCACCTTCTTCTTCCTCTTCATTGCCACACTTTTTGCGGATACCCCTGGACTGGCATCGTACATTTGTTTGTGCAGCTTGTAGTGTGCCAGTCCTGAGTTGTGTTGAATGACAGCAGCTGTACATCTAGTATAATATGAACCACTAGCAGCAAAGTTTATTCTTTTGCAGCCAATAAATTTGGAAACAATTGAATTGAAATGTTCTACATAGTTGCTGGTGACATCAGTTAGTAAGCTGTGGCTGTTGCGGCTAACATATCTGAACACATCAGTGATCAATGGGTAAAGGCCCACTGTGACAAGATTAGGTACTAAATTGTCATCTGGCCGGGCAGTAGTAAGCTTCAGCTTGCAAAAATACCCCCTCTCAGCACATTTTTTGTGTTCCCCGAATACGTGACTTGGAATATTCATTATATCCATTCTGAGATTTTCTATTGCTTTACTTAATTCCTCTTCATTGATTGCTTCATTCCTTTCCTTTCACTGCCATTCTGCAGCGTAACAAGTTGTCACCAATTTTCTTTCTGAGCCAAACGGAAGGTTTGCAGGTTTTAGAGGCTGCAATCGTTTTGAGTGTAGTGCACATATTTCTCAAAAGATGGTTCTTGCATTCTATCTTCTGAACAGAGCAGTTTTTGTATGGCCGAGAATCAATTATTTTCTTATATACGCTGGAGTCCCCATCGGCAATAAGTTTTATATATATATAACAAGACTTTTTAGTGATAACAAGACTCTCATGGGGATTGTAAAATAAGACTTGTTATCAAGGTTGACTTCTTATCGAGGTATGTAATAACATGTGATTAAAGGGAAAATAATTTTAAGGGGATTGGAAAATGACACTTGTTATCAAGGGTGACTTGTTATCGAGGGTCTTCTTATCAAGGTTCCACTGTATTATTTATAACACCGCCATCCGCATCATGAACTCGACCAATTAGCGCAAGGGTCCTGATAAACAACAGGTGATAGGGTTTGGAAGTGAATGTCTCCAATACCACAGTGACCACGCGCCAGTCATGACCTACACATTACCGGCGCCGCGTCGTGTGTTCGCGGTACTTGGCCAAGTGTTTTGTAATATGTGATTTTGTGTGAACTTCATGTACTTTATGTGTTTTTTGACGTGCTCAACCGCGGGCTAAATGAGTTGATTTTGTGTTTCTTCACTTTGAAGATGTGCTCATTGTAGCACGAAACAGCTGTCGTGTTTGACAACTATACAGGATCATTTTAGGCAAGGTAACATAAACCATATTCTGCCATTATTAATGTCGATATCTGTGTCCAACTGTCCAAAAACCTCCCATTTCACCTGTTATTTGTCTTTGTCATGAGCAAGTAGACATTTTAAAATTCAAACTATGACGAACTTGCATTCATGAATTTCAAAACATGGGCCCCCCTACTGTAGACTACAAAACCATATCTTCTTAAAGCCGTTTGGTGACTTTATTGAGCGATTTCTAACGGCTAGAACTGTGTCAAATTGTCCTAAAACCTCCCATTTCACCTGTTATATGTCATGCAAGCAAGTAGACACGTTTTTTAACTTACGTTTTTCTCCATTTCATAGATCTGTCACAATATGTATAGTTGAGCGAAGCTCTTTGAGATCGGACCTTATGCAAACTATGTAATCAATTAACTCAATAACGGCTGAACATATTGAATCCAAACTTAACAGGGGTATTTCGAGAAATATTTTTGCTGTCTCGAAACAAACAAAGTTCAATTTGATAATACCTGTACACTTTTTAGATTGATATAAAATTTGCAATGTTTAACATGAGTCTCATGGGTTGTCATGATGGTTACGATATAACAACGTATTTAAATAAATTTTGTATGATGGAATTAGTTTCAGTGAAATAACCTAAATCCTTATGGTAAAGTTAACTTTGTAATTCCAAAATAAAAAATTTTAAAAAATATTTTCTTGACACGTGTGACATATCAAATTGTACGTAAGATAAAACCTCACAATAGTACAATAAACATGTTTGGATAATATGTTGATTTCGTGTAGTAGCATTGTTTTTTTATCTTTGGCCCAAACTGAGGAGCAGAGCAGTGAGCGGCCCGGTTCACTACCGCCGGCTCTTAACTGGTTTTACTAGCTATAAAACATCAAATGTACTACCAAATAGTAGGTCACAGACTGGAACATCATTTAATATTTATTTTCATGTTATGCACTAGTACTAGGCCTATACATACAGGGTGATTGATATAAGTGTGCCAGCCGTTTTATTCGAAAACTATAAGAGATATCGAAAAAAGTTAAATGGTAAGTGCCTTTTTTATTTTTTATTTAAAAAATGTTAGTCAAGTCAACAAAATTATTTTAGCCTTCATTTTTCCAATATGGCCGCCAACTTTGATTTTTCTTATAGAACACCCTGTATTTTATGATGTATTCTGGTAGAAAATGTAATTTAAACACAATTTTATTCCTGTGATTTTTTCATAAACCTAACCGTTTCAAAGATAATAATGGTTAAAGTTTTGAAATTTCTGCATGAGAAAGAGTTTCGATAAAGGCCTAAGCAAGCATGCCAGCTGTTTTATTCAAAAACCATTCAAAATTTCACAACTTAAACCATTATTATCTTTAAAACGGTTAGGTTTATGAAAAAAAATTACAAGAATAAAATTGTCTTAAAATTACATTATCTACCAGAATACATCATAAAATACAGGGTGTTCCGTGAGAAATATCAAAGTTGGCGGCCATATTGGAAAAATGGCAGGTAAAATAATTTTTTCAACTTTAATACAATTTTTTAAATAAAAAGTCCAAGGCACTTACCAGTTAAGTTTTTTTTTTTTTTTTATATCTCTTATGGTTTTCAAATAAAACGACTGGCACACTTATATCAATCACCCTGTATAGGCTATCCAATATTTTTTGTTTTGTAAACAGAAGTGTGAAAAACAAAATCACAATGTTTCGATACTGCATATAAAACCTAAATCTGTATTAAAGAAAGAGATGAACTATACATCCAAAGTTAATGTTAGTGATTTCCTGGTCTTTTTAGGATTGTGTTATCAACGATTTCAACTATCCACGATCATTCAGATGCTCATTGATGTGGATCTACTCATCGGGAGTCTATATTTAAATATAAAAAAATGAAATAGTTGCATTTCAAGATTAGTTTTGCTTAATGTTGATATCATCTTAACTCGGTGGGAAGTCAAACCTTTTATCTTGATATCTTTTGACAATCACAGAAAAATAAAGTAAAAAAATATATATATTTAACACATACCTAAACCTAACTACAATGCAATGAGGACCTTATTTCCCTAATGGCGGTCGCCAGGGGCCTTTGGCCTCATTGTATAAAATCTGTTAGGAGATTGGATTTCAAACGATCGTGGAAGATGTTCCTGATTTTGCAGCTAACGCAGGGGATAAAGACGATGTCTCTGCGACAGCAGATTGTGTTTTTGATTTAGCTGTGATCACAGGAGACGACGATTTTGTCTCCTCAAAAAAGAAATAATAAAGATGCTCATTCACTGTGATGCAGAGGAAGATCACAATTTCTATTCAACCTTTATAGCAGAAGTCAATGAAACTAACTATAATATAATAATTGGTATTTTAGAAAATCAATTTATTCCGAAGTATCACGATTATGACCCAATCTAATCTTACGAAAATTGTTGACGTCATCCCAATGAAACAAGTTTGGCCCGTAGACCCCTAATATTATTATTTACAAAAATGTATTAACTTTGTTATAAGCTGGCCCCTTAGCCTCGTAACCCTTTGCCCTCGAAAGGCCTCAGCTGTTTCTGAGTCAGCTTGTCGTTGTTTACGCAGCGCCGTGCCTCTCAGGTTGTACAGCCAGCACTGCTGGCCATTGTAGTTTCTCTGTTAGGTTGGTCACCCTTCTGCCAACCCAGCTACACCAGCTTGTATCAAGTATTTTGTTTTTGTCAGTTATGGTAAGGGCTAAGGTTTAACACATTGAAACTAAAAATAATTTCAAATAAGTCTAATATTTTTATATTTTATTGAAAGCTAATGAAATAGGAAATAAAACTAAAATCAAAGTTTACTGCTTAAGTTCATACATAATAAAATATCTAATTTTAAAAATTGTCAAAAGATCTACTGTTGCTATGGAAACTATGTACGATTTCCCTTTCCCTATGAAACTAGGCCTTGAACTAGTTTATTTCTTATATCAACAGATTAATCGAAAAACCTTTACTAGTCATCCTACAGTTACACAGTTAATAATATTTTATCCTGGTACACAGTTAATAATATTTTATCCTGGTAAATGTAACCTCATTCACAACGTAAGATACAACCCTATAATACCCTATAATGTGTGTATGTTTTTTTTTTTGTTTCTACAGTTTCACATGACAACCACACACTGACAGTTGAGGTTATTTTACAGTGAAAATGGCGTAATACAGAGCTGGAAACCTTACAAACTAAAATTTTTATATTCTGTGAATCGAGGTACTATCTCTGTTTAGTGCTGCAGCCTACAGGAGAATTACTAAACAATGTTAAAAAAAGTGTGTTGGATGGCCACCTATACTGGCCGGCCGAGCTGACGGGGAAATTAGTAGTGGCCAGCAGTGCTGGCTGTACGACCTGTGAGGCACTGTGCCATGTAAACATGACAAGCTGATATAAAATGTAGCCGTGTCCAGCAGGGCTGGCCATTCGAGTTGTGAGGCACTTTTCTAAAATGGCTATGAGACCGTAAAGGGTTAAGTTTATTCATTGATCTTATCGTAGAAAACAAAGAGTCAAGTTTATGGAGTTTAACACGTTGAGTGCGGGCTACATCAATTGATGTAGTGCATCACGAACGCTCCTACGGGCTACATCAATTGATGTAGTTGCGCCACTCTCACTACATTAGCACAGTATGAGCTCAGCCATTGCCGGGAAACGTTATAATCGCTGCCAGGCTCTAGCTTAGAATGTGAGCTTTATTTTGGTGTAGGTTGATACAAAAATTCTTGTAAAATCCCGTCTGGCAATGCTTTTGTCCCGGTTTCGAGGAATTTTCTCTATTCGAGCCATATTACAAAGACACTGGCTATTGATCCAGGCAGTGGTGTTACCTTTGGGCGTTTCAGTGAACTACGTCCTCTTTCGTGTTAACGCAACACAATCACCACTGCTCTTTTGTGATTCGTCAGACTGAAATATTTGAATGCCAATTGCGTTCGCTGATTCTGTGGAGCACTGGGGCTTTGGGAGCGCCTGTTTAAAGAAGGTTTTCAGCACTCAACGTGTTAAGCAATACAACATGTATTTCTAAACCTTCTTTGTTCCAGCTGTCAAAGAATTGGAATGAGTTGCTGGGGGACTCATTGATTCTGAATACAGCCCTAAATGCAAGCATTTAAACAAACACAATTACTAACACATTGTACTGTTCTCTATAAATTTAAAGAGATTGTTGTGAAGATTATTGTCTATGGTGTCAATAAACGGATTGTTCTGTTTTAGGCTCAGTATGAATTTCTCCACCGTGCCATTGCCAACTATGCAGATCTTCATCAACTTGTATCGGATGAAATGGATTAAACTTTTTATCTAGAAATACATTGTGACTATGTACAGCTTTTACCTTTTAATGTGAAGACCAAAATGTTTTAATTTTTAACGGAATTATAGATTTAATTCAATCACTAAGTGGATTATTTTATTTTTATCGTTTTAGTGTCTTAGGATAAAATCGTTTAAAAATCTTTTTTAAATCATTGTTTGGGATTTTATTTTTTAAATGAATAGATTATCTTGATCTATGTATAGGATTAGCATATGGATATCAAATTCTTTCTCTATTGATCTACTATAATTCAAAAGTTACCTATTATTTTACATTCAAATTTAAGATCTATGTTCAGTTAAATGAAAACAGAGAAATGAACAAAATCTATCGAATTTGCCATGAACTCGTACATTGTTTAGATCATATTAGTTATATTGATAACATACTCTTATACAATATAACCAAATTGTATTCTGATGTTTACTTTAAATTGAAGTTTAACGTCTTCAGACTTTTTAAATATAAGAAGATCACTGCCAATTTAACAGTTATAATAACTGGAAAACACTCTTAGTGGCATGATTTGTTTTCAGAGACACTTTGTTTTCAGTTTCATGAAATATTCATCACTTATTCTATATTCTGTTTAATTAAGTCTATTGTTTCAAATTGTCATTAAATGTTTCATTGATTTTTAAAAATAGTTATTTGTGTATTAAGATTGCAAAGTATGTCATTGCTGCTGGAGAACTGGAGATGGACGCACGAAGCTTAATCTGAGTGTGGCCATACATTTCAAGAGTGACAATGCCTGTTTGTGCTTATTACACTGATACACGCACACAAGATTTTTCCTACCACCATTATTAACTTATCATAACTCAAAGATGAAATTTTAGTTTTATAAATGTAATTTAGGTTATGTTTTCTTTTCCTGTTGGAAGAGGTAGGTCCATTACCAAATGTCAGTGTTTTATAGAAACACTAACGAGGAGTAATGACTAAAGCGTAAATGAGCTATTTTGCGTGATGTTTACAGGTGAGGCTATGTGATCATTTGCATGTGGTGGTAGGAAAAACAATTGACTTATGACTTAACTATATAAATTGAAATTTACATCACCACACATAGTATTTGTTTTCATTATAGGATTGTCAAGCATACTATTTGATATTGTGATATATATCTTTTATACAAAATGAGTTCCTGGCAAAATTGTTCAATCACTTGTTTACTGGATAGGTTTTATTCAGAAACCAATTTTTGTATGTTTGTGCTTTATTGCATGGATCATTAGGTATTTTGTACATTTTCACTGATTAGCTTAAGCACATTTTTAGGCTTCAACTGGAGTGATAAATTTTGTGGTGTATTAAAGTGTACAGATTAAAATTAGAAAATTAAATTAAGTATATTTTTAATATCGTTCAATAAGCTATATTTTATGTTATAAACTATTTGTATTTTATACTTTTAATAAGTAGCCGTGTTTTAGTAACTTTTATTTTATACTGATCATAAAATGAGTATTTATTGTTTACTACAGTATAGCATCTTTCCTACAACCCATATACCTAACATATGAAGCTTTTACCCATCTGAACCTCTGTTAACCAACTACTTCTTAGTTTTTACTTTTTATTTATCATTACCTTAACAAAATGAAACCTTAATTGAAATTGGAGTCACCTAAAACTGGAAAAAAATCTTTACTTTAGTTTTAACATTCAATACACAATTGTGATTGAATTTCAGTTGTTATTAGTTTTTGTTATTTTGAGGGAGGGCTCAGTTGGTTGTGTGGTTAGAATGTGGGACCGTACTGTGTCCAAATCCTGCCAATCACCAATGCTGTGACTCCACTCAATGCTGTGAATGGGGGATGGGTCTCTTAGGCACATTCTACCTGAGTGTGAAACCCGCAACAGGATTCCCCCATCAGGGCCACACGCTCCACAGGGACCATTGCGTTAAATTGGCGTGTCTACACAAGCGGAACTCACGACGCAGGTGGACGCGTCAGTAGGCGGGAGAGCGTAGTTGACGTCGATGTCAGTGTCAATCCCGCATTGGGAATCCCACCAGCCATCCTACACATAGTGTTATCATCGCGCATGGCAGCTAAATTCGCATAATAATGTTCAGTTGCATTAGAGTTGGTCCAACACAGTGCAGTGTGATGTTCGATCATAAATGAGTATTAAATTTGTTTTCATCTGTTATACATTGTGTATTCCTTTAGTCAAAAGAATTTTGATCTAAACTATAAAAATGATCGGCCAGCTGGTGAGTTAGTAATAGTGTATTTTATTTATTAACCTAATTTATAATAAATATGCATTTCATAATGCAAAAGTAAATACAAACAAAAATCACGATATGACAACCAGAATTTTTTCCATAAAATTAATATTGCAATTTATTTGTTGAAGATAAGCGATTTTGTATGTATCAAAGTTTAAGTAAGTTATATTTCTAGATGGTGTGAATAAACAAAAATAAGAATTACAGTCCAAATTAATAGCTAGAGTTGGACAACTATGGCTATAAAACCAAAATCCACCGTGTCCTCCGTCTGAACCGCCTCGTGTAGAACGGTCCAACGGGTTTCAAACAGACTCCACGCGACAGGGATCCCACCACTTGTAGTTTCCAAAAAATTTCAATCTTGTTGAGGTTTTCACGCTCGTGTAGAATGGGCCTTAAGGAGCACTTTATCTCTGTTGGAGAAAAATCGCAATAAAAAGTATGCTTTTAACATGCATGGAGGATCTAATTTTTTCTATTCGCTATTTTAAGTTATATCATTATCATAGCATAAACTTCATTATTTAAGATAAATTTGTCATATCCCCTGTTTTTTTATTTGTAAAGAAAATGTTTCTCAATTTAAATTGATAAAGCAATCAGCCAGATAAAATATTTTAACATTCTATGGAATACACTTTCTATTCTTTAATCGTTTATTCCCTATAGAAAGGTTAGAATCCAACTCAACACTAAAGAAGACAAAAGAGATCTCTATGAAAGTGAACGTTTTTCCAGAGATTTGTTAACAGAGGTTTATATGTCCCTATGTGTCCTGATTTTACATTCCAGTCAATGTATCGCACATGTTGTGAGTCATTACTTATCGTAAGTGTTATAACCTGCATTATTTTCTAGTAGATGCATATTATTGTTTTGTATTAATTTACAGTATGATTAGAAATAGATACATTGTATGAACTCTTTGTTCAATGATCTTATGGAAAACCATGCTTGCAAGTTCAAACTCGATGACTTTAATTACGCATCTGGTGTTTTACTTTCCGTTTTGCGATTCAAGGCTTCTTTTTAATGATGTTATTACTTGCTGTTATTATGATGTACTTGAATAAATTGGCGTGGTTTGGTTTAAATGTTCCTCTTGTTGGGAAAATCGATTCAATAATCAATAATGTTTAAACTTATGTTATTGAGATTATCATCACGAAACTATCTTATGTACCAATTTTCTTCTCTAATCTATTTTAAAGACAATATTTACTATGGATGTAAACTGAACACTTTTTCTTACTTAACCCTCAAATCTCAAGATAGTTCAAGGATGGGGAGCAGGTAAACAGGGACAGCTTAAGGAGCAAAGTCACCAAGTCCGCTCATGGTTTAAAATTACAAATAATACTACAGTAACACCATTACAGTAATCAGTATTGCTATTTGAAGACGAACCGAGCTAAGAAACTGTCCAGTGATTGTCGTCTATTACTAGTCAAGCTAAAACAACTCAGTACAAGACGATCTCTTGGGTCATATTTTATAACTGTCTCTTACAAAGATAACCTAAAACATTTTGAGGGTTAGGTTGGAATGAAGCTATGGTTTTGTTAGACTGTATTTTCCATAGGGTATTTTGATCAGTTAGTTTTAAGTGTCATAATTATGTTTATTTTTAGTTACATCCAGGTCTGACTTACTGCTATGGTAGGCCTAGTGTATTCCTATGATTGTCAGAGGCGAGTCCTGCTGTATTTGTACTGTGTGATAGTCCGTGTTATATAAATCACAGTGAGATGTTGGACGCAATTGTTTTAACAAAGACTGAATTTTAATTTCTTTCCTTCTATAGCTTTTGTGCTACTCCAGTTCAATGAGACGAGTATAGCAGATTATTAAATTTAACTTAAACGTATACCGGTAGTAACTGTCTCTAAATGAATGTACACCGACTTGTTAAATCCTCTGAAATAACTTATTCTAAGTAATTTATTGCAATAGATGTATGCTGTTTATGTAATCATTAATCAATGTATGTTTTGATTCTGGACTCATATGGCATTTGTCTTTGGGATGTCAATCAATGATGTTATCTAACACAAATCCAACATTAAATAGTTTAAAAAACACATGGTTTGGACTGGTCCCTCACAAAAAATCTTTAAAAAACGCCAACAGCGAGAAAACAAAAAGTATGATGCTATCACTAAGATCACCAACGACGATGTAGTTATAAATCTTTTAAACTCCTTATATTAGTGTGATCACATTGTTTGCATTTGTGCTCAAGCTACGGACTGGACAGAATATAATTTAAAAATAAGATGCATTTCGTTTTGCCCTATCAGATTTCATATTATTTTGCTCCATCTAAAGTTATGTGTTAAGAATGAATGGATGTACAGTGGCTGAGAGAAAGAGTGGTTTTTATGGAATGATTATAATGTGAATAATTTTCTAACAGAGATTTTAACACTTTAAAAGATCTTGCTTAATATTTCTCTTCCACACTGTGGTCTGTTGAATTGCTGTGCACAACCGCACAAACAGATTCTCATACGAGCAATGTGATCATGGCTTTTTACAGTTATTAAGTATCTTATTTTGCTTGCAGCAAAATATAAGTATTACAGAAGCTTATTTTACTGAAGGTATTTTCTGTAGGGGTTGCTACATACAACATATTCAATATAAGTTGGAAATTTTAAAACCTGAAATGCTCTTTGAAATTAATTCAACTTTCATCAAATGTGGTTAATTCTCAAACTACAAAAGCGCCAAACTAAGTATAGTGATCTGTAGTGTCATCAATAGCTTTAAATTTAGATACCTGGACAAAATTTAAAATTCATTTTTGGGTTTTAGACAAAGTTTAGCAATCCTGCATGTTTATAAAGTAGGTCCTTTCTACTATATTCCACATTACAAGTTGGTGTACCGAGTTGTAATCAAACATTTCCATAAACTTCAATTCAAACGATGGAGTGTAGTGTTGTCTAAAAATAACTAATCAAAATTTCAAAAATGTAATAGTTTTTTTTAAGGCCAGAAAGTTTTTGATACGTAGAATCTACCAAACAAACAGTATAATTTTGTGATGTTTTCTGTTCTCTTTCTTCTGTTAACTCATGATGGCAGCTATTTATTTTTATCAAAGAAAAAAACGCTTTTAAAATTTGAGAAACAATCTTTAGTTCCTGTAATCTAATGTCTTTATAAAGTTACCTTTATTCCCAAACATCTTATTTTCAAAAATTCTATCGATATATTTAATCAAGACTGATAGTTTATGCTGTCTCTTTCCCTTCTGAGATTATTAGTTATCTCTTTCCTATGACTATCATTTTCAGTCTTGAGTCAAGTTAAATTCTTCGGCATTTCAAAACTAATTTTACGTTTCAGCCAATAAGACATTTAGTGTTGTGGCGTATATTTCCATATGTTTTTGTATATGTGTATGTATGTACTGTATTTATCCTTTTTTTTTTGCTATTGCGCTTCGTTTTAATTTAATAAGGATTTTTTACCTTATTTAAAAATACAAATAACATGATTTTGTCAAACAAATGCTTTTATATTTTGTATTTGTCTTACCCTCACTACTTGCTTTACTTCACTATTATTAGATTTTTTACATTTATACCATTAGTCTAGTTATCGGGACAACGTCAGTAACTGTCCCTATTGTACATTAATGATAATGTGTTAAAGAACTTGTATTATAGAGGTTGACTAGGCTTCTGCCTTCTCACTGTCTTTACAATAATTTCTTGTACAAAATGTTAATGCATTTTATGAGTCTGTACTTCATAAATAAACTTACATTTATACAATATTTTGTTTTTTTTTTACAACTTTTCAAAGCTATGATTTAAATAGAAACTCGCCTATTTCAAACAATCTGCACTGCGTAAATTTAGATTTTATTCTTCAAGAATGGTTTCAACTAGCATCGACAGAATGTTGGTGAAGGATCATGACAATTTTGGAGAGCACAGCAAAATTGTAAGTTTGTCCATTCAATGCAGTAGGTGAAAAACCTAAATTATTTCCCTTACCACAGGTATTGATATTGACTGTACCTTGCTTGTTCAGCTTCATTCAGTATTTGCTTGATAACCTAACGACTAGTAATGGTTTTTACAATGAAAATCTAATCTCAGAAAACAATTCATACAAGTGTAGCGGCGATTTTTCTTTCTGTAGTTAACATTATCTATGGAAGATTAGTGTCAAAAGGTGGAAACTAGTTGGAAGGAGGAATTAAACCACACAGCCCTAGTGCCCGATTTCAACTTGCTTATGCTAACTAGTTGGTTGCATAATTTAGATCAAATAAATCTTATTCATCACATACAATGCATAAATGAATGTGTCATCGTTATTGAGCGCACTCGTACTGAGTAAAGCTCTTGTACTAAATTCCTATGTTTGTTTTACAAAATTCCATCTGCATGTACACATCTTTTTTACGTGAACCTATTACCATTGACTTTGGACACTGCAAATAGACACTCCCATGTTCGTAAAGGTGTAGCATTGACTTTTTTTATTTTTTTGGAGGTTGGCAGCCGCCCGTATTTAGAATCGATGAGGCCCCAGCGGGTCTCACCAGAGCCAGAGGAGCCCCTCTATGTTCTGATTCTTCGTAGGTTGGAACTTAAGGGTTTAGAAATATACATGGTATTGCTTCAAGTCGCTGAATTGAACTTCTGTTTCTAACAATCCAATCAGCAAAAATACCTACGAGGCTAAGATAATAATTAAATCTATTATTTTTTTAAATAATAATATTAGGGGTCTTAGCTTGGGGCCAGACATTTTTCATTTCATTTGTAAAAAAGGTTTGTTCGGGCATCAGATCAAAATGGGGTGGTTTTGTAAACAATTAATTAAAAATACAGTACTAATTAAGTCTTAGGACGACTTTATAACTTTAATACAAAAATAGATATCTCAACAAAATTTGGCATATCATTACTGGTAATAGTAAGCTACTTTTTTTGTGTACATGACAATAGACAATAGACAAAGCTTTATTGTACATCACGCCTGATACAATAATTACAAAAGTAATTCCCAAGCTGGTACATGGTCAATTTATATCTAGGTTCCTTAATCTAATTATACCCTGACAAGAGTAAAAACTATTACAATTTATCTTTAAAAAACGTCTGAATTTTGTAATACGCTTTTTGGCTCAAAACATGACCATCATGACCTACATGATGATCGGATGTTGCCTATAGGGGATGTTGCTCATAAGGAGTAAGTTGAAAATCCTAAAGGTAAGAATAAAATTAAAGGTCCTGTTAAACTAAAAACAATGCTGCAAACCGGACCTCTATTGGGCAATCAAGCAAAAAAATACAGCTGTTAAGTATCCATTGAATTTGCAATAAGCTACCTCCTAGGAGGCGCCCGCCAGAAGACGGAAGAAAATAAAAAACTTAAGCATAGGTCTAATATGCATATCAAATTTAAGGTATTTGTAGAATACAATGCCAAAAATTTGAGCTCAAAAGAACAACTGGAACTGAGTAAAAAATGGCAGCCGTTTAGGCCCTGTACACATGAGGGCGGCAGCCGCCGCAGTTGACATTGCGCGGGAACCGCGGCGGTTGAAAGTACAAAGGAGCAAATGGGACCGTTCACATGCAACCGCCCATTTCCAATCAACCGCAACAAACCGCGGCGATCGTAGATTTCCCTTTGACCGCCGCGGCTCCCGTGCGGTTGAAGTTACTAGAGTTGGCATGAGGGCAGTAGCCGCCGCGGTTGACTGCAGTTGCTACTATAGGATCACAGACATCTGCGCGCTTGCTCTGTGGACATCGCTCTCTCTCTCTCTCTCTCTCTGTGTTGGCACAGAAAACGTACTACTATAACCCAGAATGCCAACCGATTGGTAAAAAGCATTAAGCGGTTTGAGAGAGCTTTGCCTGTCAATCCGTAGGCAGCGCCACCAGCGTTGCCATGCAATAGCATAGCAACGCTGGTGGCGCTGCCTACGGATTGACATGCAAAGCTCTCTCAAACCGCTTAATGCTTTTTACCATGCGGTTGGCATTCTGGGTTATAGTAGTACGTTTTCTGTGGTGTTGGTGAAGTGTATAGCTGTGGCTGGAGTTGATGTAGTGCTTGTAGTGTATGTTTACAATGGCCATGCGTGCTGCTGTGGAACCAGAAAACTTTGACACTGAACTGTTAAAGAAGTACTAAATGAATATACGTTTAGGACATAAACTAAAACAGATTGCGTGGCATGAGTTAGTTGAGTTTTTTGCTGAAAAGAATTGTCAAGCGTTACGCGTTTAAGAAAAATAATTGGGTAAATACAGTACTGGCTGTCGAGCGACGGTCAATTCACACCGCAACCGCAGCGTAACCGCGGCTCCAACCGCTGCCATGTGTACGGTCCTAGGCGGCCACCGCGGCGGCTGCCGCCCTCATGTGTACAGGGCCTTAGAGATTCAAAATGGCAGATTCAAGAAATCTTTGAACGGTTGCCATTTTTAACTCGGTTGTCTATTTAAGGACTGGTTTACGGCATTGATTTTAGTTTGACAAGACCATTAATTTGATGTACATGTCAACTACGTAACATCCGTCATCCGATCACCAATGTACACAGAAAAGTAGCTAACTACCCATACATCACACTTTTTCCTCAGGACATCCCACGGATATTGCGACAGGATATGCAAGATATCCCATAGTGGTCCTATAGTCAACCTGGGATATCCACAGGAATGCGTAATGTCCCCGCCCGGGGATGTCCTACGGATAAGCTCACAGCATATCCGTGGGACATCCGAGGTCATCCCAGGGTAGTCCTCAGGACATTCTCAGGATATATGGGACTATTATGGGATGTCCCTGGGATAAAGTGTGGTCTGGGCCTGAACATAAAAAACACAAAATAATATAGATTTAGTATGAAAAACTTAATTATAAGTTTATCAAATTGATTAAATAGTTAATACAAATTTTGAAGAAAAAAACGAGAAAAAAGTTTTTGGCCCAGACGGTCTCGAACCTGGTACCTTCGCCTTATGAGCCTCATACCTTACCTCCTGAGCTATCTGCGCTTGACAATTGTGGGTGTTTTCAAGTGGTGAAAGAGTAG